ATAATTAGCAAAGTCTTTGCGATGTAGTATACTACAGCGAAGATATGATCTCCCACATCTAAACACTTCGATGTCGGTACCATGTAGTATATACTGAATCGAATTCTTTCTTTCCGATGTAGAATGTTATAGACATGGTGAGAAATAATTCAATTAGTAGTAGTATATGCTACATCGTATGTACGACAGTTCTTGGTGGGTGCAGTTTACTATACCGCCAGGACCTACATCGGTCATGATGATAGGAGCTCCGCCCAACTCTGGCGAAGCCTGTCGTATATACGAGGCGGTATAACCGAAATCGGTTATTTTGCTAGCTGGCAACAACATTTTTCCGCTCATTTTCCTCCATTTTTCAAAAATATTGTGTTAGATCCATGTTGGGCATGCCTAAAGTCATCAACTTTGGGTCTGGAAACTTCTATTAGAGATTTCTTACATTCACAATTAAAAACATGAAAGTTTTGGAACAAGTCATTCTGAATCTCTTGAATCTCTTGAAAAGGGTAAAAGGCAATATAAGACCACAGTACGACTATATGAGCTAAAGAGGATGTTGTATCTTTCGATCTACGCATATCTGCTATTCTCCACTTCTGACCTGCCATATCCGACCTACTAGCACGTGGTTTTACAGTTGTATAAGTTGGGCATGTCACGTGGATTTTACGGTTCTGTCAATATTTCAGAAAACTGTGACTTTCGATTGTAGGTATGATATTAAACAGTAGATGCATTTTGCGTATATAGACGATGTAACTGTACCCTTAAGAGGGCTAATGATGGTCTTCATTTTGTATTGAGGTTAATAAATTTGAAACCCACCTGTAAAAAGTTAAATAAAATCTTCATTTTTGAATCAAAGAAGAATACAATAAATATTTTAAAAATTTCTTTTTCTAACTTTAGTTTGAGTGATATCTGCAGAATAAAGTTATAGATACTTACCAATAAATATATATCAATCATAAGATGGTTTCAAAATCTTCAACAACGTGTATATAAATTATAGATTGACGAAGATTTACGAATTTGCATACACGTGAAAACATGTTTAAGGTGATTATGTTAAAAGTGAATTTATTCTAAGCTCAGAAAGACCTAATTATTTAACTATAATATACTAGTGAAGTAAATTAATAAAATAATATCACAAACATTTTTATTTAGTTATAATTATATATATTTTATATCTTATAACAATCTGTCATATTTAGCAAGTTTACTATTAAATTACATTAATAACACATGATATCTTTGTCTGAAATTCATTTTTTACTACACGTTGATGAAAAATACAGTCGTCCTCGTAAATATCACTTCAATGAAGACGACTTTCAATTTCAATTTCATGATTTCTGCCACGCTTTCATTAGCATGGTTACACAGAAACATGGAAACAAAGAGAAGCTGTCCATTAACAGCTTTTCTTTGTTTAATTTTAAACTTGTAATTTGAAAAAAGCTTGTTAGAAACTAAGAAATCAAAACATAGATAGGAAAAGTCGTCTTCATTGATATAAACACTGACCACATAGTGAACCAATTTTTTTACTATATATGGAAACTGTAATAAAAAAATACATTTAATTCCCCCTTTTTAAAACTGTAGAGTAAAAATATTCAACAATTTTGCCCCTCATTCTCATACAAACAATTGGAAAAACTTGTAACGTGAGTGCAAAATTTTCTTTGAGTTTATAGCAAGACACATTTTGGAATTTTAAATCAAATTCTTGTTATTTTTAACAATTAACAATGATATGGACGTGAGCAGGAATGATTCCAATCTCCAGTATGTCCGTCATGAGAGTTGTGACCATGGTGGGCTTTATAAACGCTACTACACCCATTGGTGCATTGGTGTCGCCCCGTCTCCGGGTTAGCCTGCTGCCACCTGATTGTTCCGGTAAATCTACCAGATAACGAGCCACACATCCCACCACATATGCCACTGCACATGTAGATCTCTTCTTCTTTGTGGCAATTACAAACTCCCGAACAAACTCCAAGGCAAGAATTGCAACATTCCGGATCATAGCAGTGGGTGCAAGTTTGGTTTTCACAATGTTGAGAGCAGATATGATCATGACAGTGTTGGCAGTCATGTCTATTATGATGATCAGCTGAGCAGATAGAATGGCAATGACAGCTTCCATTGCAACTATGCCTGCATCTATGGCAGCATGTATTGCTGTAACAAAAGCTATGTTGATGGATTTTATGGCAGTCATAACAAAAGTTGTTTTGTGGAACATTTGAATGAGATTTGAATTGCTTGTGACACTCTTTACTGATGTGACATCCTTGTTCACCAGTTCTCCCAGTACAGTTAGAAACCTCTTTACAGATGTTAGGAGGAATTTTACCAAAGTTTGCTTCAATATGAATACCTCTGAAAACATTTTGGATTAGTTTCCATGTTTAAAAATTATAAAGAGTTTAATTGAATCTGTTATAGAAAGACATTTTTTTATCGTTTAAAACTTTGGTTTTATTAATCTATAGTTTTATAAACTTAATGTTTAGATATTTTGAAACTTACTGAGACTGATGACTATGATGATGTTTTCGATCTACTCTATGTTGTTGTTGTTGTTGTGGCTGATGGTGCCTTGGAACTTTGTTGTGGTATGGAGGATGATGTTGTTCTATGTCTGTATCTCGACATGGTGGAGAATGAGATGATCTTGATCTAACATGTTTAGGAGTACACCCAGGAGAACCAGGTTCAGTATGCACCGGAGTTCCGCAAGGATGTTCTATGGGTACACAGTTTAATGTCTCATGCTGTGTTGGAGTTAGAGGACGAGACGGACCATGGTTAGATTGAGGATATCTATCAGGAGGACCAGGGTTTGAGGGAGGATGTCCACTCCCTGGTCCATGGAAAGAAGGATTGCAGTGTCCATTATCAATATCATGGTTAGAGTGATGTTTAGGTGTACAAGGATGATGCTCCTGATTATGTTCTGGAGAATGATGTCTGGATTGTTCTCCAGAATGATTGCAGCTTGTACCCCGAAATGTTCCTGTGAAGGAATGGGACCTGAAAGTTAAAGTTTTAATAATTACTAGCTGAAGTGCCAGGCGTTGCCCGTGGAATAAAAAACCGAATTTTAAAAATCAAGTTTTAAAGAAAATTTTTTAAAAGTTTTTTTTTTAGCTTATATTACCCCTCGGGTATCCATTGGTTTTCTTAAAAAAAATCAGCCCATTCGGTCCATATCAGTTTGGCCAGCTATAGCTTACATATATATAACATTTAAAATTCGGTGATGGTGATGGACCAAACCTCTGTAGAGTAAAAAATTAGATGTTAGTTCCACATTTATTGATATAGTGATATATAGCATATAAGAGCGAAGAGCTTTATACATATAGATGTGAAATAATAAGAGTAATATTAAGAAATAGAACCTGTTATTTGGTCGTCCATGTCTTGCTTTAGGTCGTCCTCTCTCAAACTGATTTTCCTCACCATCAAAACTACGTCCCATCCCATCCCCTGTTAACAAATTGATTAAAAAATAAAGTCTTTAAAAACACACTTTTTCATTTACCTGCACTTTTAGGTCTAGAGTTATACATTGTGTGGATTTTAGGAGTTCTATGTATCAAATCTTCATCAATCTGTAAAAACAGATCAAAAGGAATTTTGTGTCTTTAAAATATAGTTTTTTCGTAATTCTGTAAAATCATCGGGGGGAAAAAAAGAAATCCTCCAAAGAAACTGATTTATTTGCACAAACTCTGAGTTTTTAATCCCTTATCCTTGCAACCTTATGTCGGAGACCTTTAATATTTCAAACTATGAATTCTGTTGTTGCAAATACTATAATTTTGAAATATCAAAGGTTTACACCAGATTAAGTGGAAAATATAAAAAAAAAAATTCGAGTTTGTGGCAAAAACTCAGTTTCATGCATAATTTAGTCCCGTAATTTAGGACGAAATGACCGGTCCTCAACTTGGGGTCACATTTTCGATTTTGTACCTTGAACCCCAAACAATTTAAGAATCATATTGAAATTATGTGAATATCTTGTTTTTTAATTATATTACACTGAATCAAGAATAAATACATTGAGTTATAGTGAGGATGGTTTCCTCTTTGACCTGTATAAAACCGGAGGGTAAAACTTTTATGTTGGGTCTAGAAATTCAGCGGCTGAACTCGATATCCAGTGAACTAACTTAAAGTTTTTAAACGGGAATTCCTTAAAGGGACTGTTACGTAATTTTAAGTGACCATGGAAGGATGGCAATTCTTGATTCACAATGGTACCCTTGAAATCTTGAGCAAATCAATAATGTGAAAGATATTGTCTGTTGTTTTCCTGCGGTATAGAAGTAACTAAGTCACTTTTAAAGAGAATCCGCAATTGAAACTACGCTTACTGTCCCTTTAACTTTAAGCTTTAAATCCGCCAATAACAGCATTTCTCCGCTAAAGTAAATTCTACGTCTAAGGTTTATCCATCAGCAAGAGTATATCCAGCAAAGCAATAGGAATCCTACTTAGCCGGAGATCCATTACAAAAATATTATTCTCATGTTTTTGAGATAAAAGTTAATGGATATTGGAAATATATTTGAACTAACTACCTTCCTCCAGACAAATGGATCTCTCTTTCTTAAATCACAATCCTTGTTCTCCAGGTCGGTTCTACAAATACATTGTTCAAGTTCTCATGTTCGGTAGGAGCAAGTGGATAAATTTGAATACAACAAATCATACAATAGTTTCTGCCTATATCACAATAGGCATATTACAATATCGTTGGTCTCCATATTGTATTGTGTATACATTGTAAGTAGATATACCTACAATTCATATCATCAGTATCACTTTCAACGGTATCACAATCACCAGCAATATTAATATAAATGTCATTCAATAACTACAATATCAATACTATCGATATAAATATTATTAACATTATCAATAACAATTTCAATATCAATATCAATAATGACATAATCTATATCAATATAATCAAAAGCAATTTAACCAATGTTAATATCTATAATCAACATCATCTATATCATCTATGTCTATATTTATAAAAAATCTCTGTTTGCAATGTCTGTTTGAATGTACAATCATAACTCATGAACTCCTTGACAGATTTGCTTCAAATTTTAATTGATGAACTCGGTAGAACCACGGGGATGTTCTTAGCTTGATTCAAATAAAAGTTTTAATATGAGTAGGTTAACTTTGATAGAGAAAATTCAAGGCAAATATGGGTTTCAAGCAAAGTTCATTAAAATTCATTCAATATTAGTTTTGGAAATAAATACAATGAACATGAAGATGATTACCTATTTTGAATTAGGCATTTGATCTATTCCCATTTTTTACTATATAGAATATGTACATTTCCAATTGTTGAGCGCATGCCTTATAAACCCTATTTAAATGTATATGCCTTAATCATGAGTATAGCTTCAGTAAAGCCTAAACCAACCATGGACGCTGATGTAAACATACTTTGATTTCTTTTCTTAATAGATGACATTCGTGTAAGTAATTATATGAAATCATTATAAATATTGTTCTAATCAATGTTATATTGTTGTTATAATACTTCAATCTATTTCAGTTAATTTAAACTCTCTCCTCCCCCTTTCATCTTAGTTAAACTGTAAGAAGATCTACCAAGTAACAACATCTGAATAAAGAATCAAAGAAGAAAAAACAGTTTATATAGAGAGAGTAGTTTGAAACCGGTGATCCAAAGGATATCAAGATATTACCCTGGATGAAGATGGGGATGTTTATGTAAAGGATATCAAGATATTACCCTGGTTGAAGATGGGGATGTTTATGTAAAGGATATCAAGATATTACCCTGGATGAAGATGGGGATGTTTATGTAAAGGATATCAAGATATTACCCTGGATGAAGATGGGGATGTTTATGTAAAGGATATCAAGATATTACCCTGGATGAAGATGGGGATGTTTATGTAAAGGAGGTGGAGAAGAAGGTAGAACACAAGCATTGTCATCAGTCTAAATATGGGACCAAATTTAATTAACTTGAGAGGTAACTAAGCTGCCTACCACCAGTTTAAATTCTTTATGAATCTTTAACTTTGAATCTATTATTTAGCTTTAAACCGGTAGTGGGTAGTTCAGCCATCCAGCTCAAATTCATAAAATTCGGTCCCTGCAGGAGGATTAATATCATAACTGTGTTTCATAGTTTGATCCCATGTACAACATGATATATAGTATATTCTGGTTTCTACTGATAGATCCCATGTACAACATGATATATAGTATAATATTCTGGTTTCTACTGATAGATCCCATGTACAACATGATATATAGTATATTCTGGTTTCTACTGTGTGGAAAGAAACCATGTTAGCTCAGATAATCTACTATTTGTAAGAACTAAGAATCTCAATACAGTTCTCCTAGACAGGGATGTTTCCTTTTTACTGTTGATGAAAAATAAAATTTACTAAAACAGAAACACAATGAAATAAAATAAATGGATTATTAATTAGGGCTAAAATTGACAAATACGTTACCTTATTGATTTCTTTAAACTTGGTCGTAAATAATTAATTTTAACAGAATTCACCTGATCCAACCCTGGATTCCTGGTAAACCTGATCTAGCTTTGGGTTCCAGATCCCTAGTTTTCCTGTTCTGGCTCCGGGATGCATGCTTTACCTGGTCTAGCCGGGTCTTTCATAGTTTACCTGGTCTAGCTCCGGGTTCCATGGTTTATCTGTTCTATCTCTGGGTTATATTTTTTACCTGGTCTATCTCCGGGTTCCTTGGTTTACCTGTTCTATCTCCGGGTTCATTGGTTTACCTGTTCTATCTCCGGGTTTTATGGTTTACCTTTTATCTCTGGTTTCAATGGTTTACCTGGGTTAGCTCCGGGTTCCATGGTTTACCTGGTCTAACTACGGGTTCAATGGTTTACCTGGTCAAGCTCTGGGTTCCATGGTTTACCTGGTCTAGCTCTGGGTGCCTTGTTTCTTCTATTCTTGTACTAGTTGAGGCTTCAATCTAAGAGAAAAAAACATAAGACAACAAAGAATTTAAATAGCTGCAGTCCTATTAGTGAATAAAAGAGCTCTAACCTTCGGAGCAATTATTCCAGGGAAATCTCTTGTAGGTTCCATTAGAAGGTCTATATCAACTCCGGGACAGTTCTGTCCTCGAACCTTAACATAATTTTTAACCTAAACCTAGGATTAACGAGATCATAAAGTAAGGGATGAGGAGGATAGAATATAAAACTAGAATATTGAGATAAGTTCTCAACTAAAATAACCTGAGGGAAGGGAAAGAGCAATTCCAAAGCTGAAGTTTCAAAGCTTGCAAGAACAAGGTTGGGATGCATACCCTGATCCTGAAACAAAACAATTTTTCTTCTCCTGACAAAGTTGAAAAAGTTCTTGTATTTCTTGTTTCAGTTCTGAAGTATATAGAGAAATATTATCCTGATATCTGGAGAAATATTAATCGGTATTCTACAACAAGGATTTACAAACCCCTGCTACAATATATCTAGCCCAGTACTATATATTGCACCTGGAGAAGCTCGATATAGACAGTTTCTGCTTGGAGCGCTCCTTGTAGATGCTCCAGGGTGGAACATGTTCCAAAGGTTTTCTCAAACAGGAACCTGAAGATTGGAAATAGAACGTTTTAACGTCTTGAATATACCACGGTATGTTTCAAAAATTAAAACTAACTGTGAATTTTCTTCTCTGTAAACAAGAAAAGATATAGATCCTCTCAAACATTATGAAGAGAATGTCATCTTTAAAAGTTGTCTGTCTGGCACAAAAACATCAAAAGGACAGATTTAAACAGGCTTCTTTAAATATCCTGATGGTCGTAGGTTGGTTTATGTCTTGTCAAAGTATAGATTTAAATACATCATAGAAAAGGGAAAGTGACTCTTTTTAAAAATAAATACATGTCATGAAATGGAAAACCTGTCATGATTAAATAGGGAATGAAACACCTTATGTGAAAGGGAATACCTGTAATGAAATTAGAAAGTGAATGAAACCCCTAATATGAAATAGGTTTCCTGTCATGAAAGGACAAGGGAATAAAAACCCCTTAAATGACATTGAATATATGTTTTGAAACTGAATAGATATAATGAACGAGAAAAGAGTATGAGATTGAATAAAAATGAATGAATATGAGTCCCTGTTATAAAAAAGGAAGGAAATAAAACTAAGTACCTGTCATGAAAGAGAACACATTTGACAACCCAAATTTTTATTTTGAATAATCTTTTTTGTTTGTTTATTTTCTTGTGATTTTTAACAACAAATTTTTTATTTTTTTTTATCAATTTTGATGGTTATTATTTCGTTAGAACTGACGAGGGACAACACAGACCGAAATATATTTTCAATAAATGTGGAAGTAATATTTACTTTTTTACTCTACAGAGGTTTGGTCCATCACCATCACCGAATTTTAAAGAGAACACAATTGAGTACCTGTCATAAAAGAGGAAAGGGAATGAAACTGAGAACCTGTCATGAATGAGGAAACTGAATGAAGTTGAGAACCGGTCATGAAAGAGGAAACAGAATGAAACTGAGTACCTGTCATGAAAGAGGAAACGAAATGAAACTGAGAACCTGTCATGAAAGAGGAAAGGAAATGAAACTAAGTACCTGTCATAAAAGAGGAAACAGAATGAAACTGAGTACCTGTCATGAAAGAGGAAACGGAATGAAACTGAGAACCTGTCATGAAAGAGGAAAGGAAATGAAACTAAGTACCTGTCATAAAAGAGGAAACAGAATGAAACTGAGTACCTGTCATGAAAGAGGAAACGGAATGAAACTGAGTACCTGTCATGAAAGAGGAAACGGAATGAAACTGAGAACCTGTCATGAAAGAGGAAAGGAAATGAAACTAAGTACCTGTCATAAAAGAGGGAAGGGAATGAAATTAAGTACCTGTCATAAAAGAGGAAAGGGAATGAAACTAAGTACCTGTCATGAAAGAGGAAAGGAAATGAAACTAAGTACCTGTCATAAAAGAGGAAACAGAATGAAACTAAGTACCTGTTATGAAAGAGGAAAGGAAATGAAACTAAGTACCTGTCATAAAAGAGGAAAGGAAATGAGACTAAGTACCTGTCATGAAAGAGGAAAGGAAGTGAAACTAAGTACCTGTCATAAAAGAGGAAAGGAAATGAAACTAAGTACCTGTCATAAAAGAGGAAAGGAAATGAGACTAAGTACCTGTCATAAAAGAGGAAAGGAAATGAAACTAAGTACCTGTCATGAAAGAGGAAAGAAAATGAAACTAAGTACCTGTCATGAAAGAGGAAAGAAAATGAAACTAAGTACCTGTCATGAAAGAGGAAAGGAAATACAACTAAATACCTGTCATAAAAAAGAAAAGGAAATGAAACTAAGTACCTGTCATGAAAGAGAAAAGGAAATGAAACTAAGTACCTGTCATGAAAGAGGAAAGGAAATGAAACTTAGTACCTGTCATAAAAGAGGAAAGGAAAATAAACTAAGTACCTGTCAAAAAAGAGGAAAGGAAATGAAACTAAGTACCTGTCATAAAAGAGGAAAGGAATGAAACTAAGTACCTTTCATGAAAGAGGAAAGGAAATGCAACTAAGTACCTGTCATAAAAGAGGAAAGGAAATGAAACTTAGTACCTGTCATGAGGAAACGGAATGAAACTTAGTACCTGTCATGAAAGAGGAAAGGAAATGAAACTAAGTACCTGTCATAAAAGAGGAAAGGAAATGAAACTTAGTACCTGTCATGCAAGAGGAAAGGAAAAGAAACTAAGTACCTCTTATAAAAGAGGAAAGGAAAAGAAACTAAGTACCTCTCATAAAAGAGGAAAGGAAAAGAAACTAAGTACCTGTCATGAAAGAGAAAAAGAAATGAAACTTAGTACCTGTCATGAAAGAGGAAAGGAAAAGAAACTAAGTACCTCTTATAAAAGAGGAAAGGAAAAGAAACTAAGTACCTCTCATAAAAGAGGAAAGGAAAAGAAACCAAGTACCTGTCATAAAAGAGGAAAGGAAATGAAACTTAGTACCTGTCATGAAAGAGAAAAGGAAAAGATGGCGGGAAAGGTTTTGTATTCACGTGGAATCCAAGGAAGCAAATTGATAAATGAACCTGAAAAAAAGTACTAAACTTATAATTTTTTCCAGATTCTATTAAGCATTGAAATATGTATATTGTATAAATGAAATGCAAATGTTAGGACCCAGGGCCTATAAGTTGGCAAGATAAGTATCATATTTGCAACCACAGCCTACTAGACGCTTTCAGGGAGAAATTATAGCATATTACACAATTCTTCGATTAAAAACGGGTATATCGAATTAAAAAATCTTTAAACGGTTAACAATGCACTGATTACAGTAAAAAACCTGTATTGATATGTAAGTTTTCATTTTTTTCATTATGAAAAAATTTACTCTGAAATAAGATATTAAGTAAACACGAAAAACGAAAACTATCGATAATATTAAAACTTTTGGTAGTCATCAAATCATCTCTATCCATCTCCACCCAAAACTACCCATCTCTACTCATCTCTACCCATTCTACCCATCTCTACCCATCTCTACCCATTCTACCCATCTCAATCCATCTCTACCCATCTCTACCCATCTCCACCTACCGGAGCTTTACACTGGAAGAAAACTCCGGGGCAAGATACAGCATGAATCTCCAGCTCAGTTTTTAACCTCAATCCTTTCCCGCTCATCCTTCTGAAATATTAATAAAATATGTACAACATTTTTTAATTTTAAAAACCAAGATAAGAACATTCCCATGGTTCTCCCGAGTTCTCCAATCAAAATTTGAGGCGAATCAGTCAAAGGGATCATTAGTTATGATCGGACATACAAACAGACAAACAGAGATCACTACACTATACATAAAAAGATACAACTCATACAAAGATAAAACTTAGACAAATCCCACGATGGACCTGTATACCGACAATCCAAAAATCAGTCACATCGTTCTCTGAGAGCTAAATAAGGGAAGCGTATCTTTAGACCTTTTTACAGTTATGTATCAAATAAGTTATAGTAACACAGATGACAGCTTTGAGCTTTGTCCTAAATAATTAATGTTTTTTTCCTCTGGAAATAATTAAATAAATAAACTAAAATATGATACAAAAAAAAACTTTCCTTCATAATTTTATCCCATGAACCTTTTTTTTGCAATTATAGCATGTTTTGTCCAGCTAAAAAGTCACCATCTCGCGACAATTTATCAAGCTTCAATCAACCCTTTATCCAAACTTCTAAACATTCAAATTTTCATCATACAGGATGTCCCACGAAACATGACAGTCGAGTGACGACTTGGAGGTCGTCTTTTATATATGAAATTGTTTGCGGCATTTATTCGCAAACCTAATTTTTGAAGGAACATTTTTTAATTAACGACCACAAAATTTTGTTCTTTCAGATATGCAGAGAATTTCATGCTGATTTCGAAATTGGTGTTATTTAATAAATTAAAATTTAAACTAAATTTTTGGTATCTCAAATTGAAAGTTATTTTGAAAGCACAAAAAAGGGCAGTCTACTTTTTGAGAATTACACATGTTAAAGTAGGCTGACGAATGAATGCTGCAAATTATCTAAGTAGTCTCTCAGCTGAAATGTTTCGTAGGACACCCGGTAGTTTGTTAAGATGGTTTAGGTTTGATGAAAGAGAAATAGTCTTCATTAAATCTTTTGGTTATAGTTAGTTAATTGTTTACTTAAAGGCAACTAAAGTGGGAACTGTATTTTAAGTACAGGGTTACCCACAAAGAATGAGACTGTAAAGACGACCCAAAACTCTGAAAATATGGCGATTTGAAGCTTGAATTTTGGTTTTTACCTTTAGCATTCAATTTAGCATTTTGATGGTTTACTAAATGATTAAGCAGAGAAATAAGCCAGTTTTGGTCTACGAGGAAATCTAAATACAAGAAAACGGTCTGAACAAATCTACAAGGAAATCTAAATAAAAGAAAACGGATTAAACAAATCTACAAGGAAATCTAAATAAAAGAAAACAGACTTAACAAATCTACAAGGAAATCTAAATACAAGAAAACGGACTAAAAAAATCTACAAGGAAATCTAAATACAAGAAAACGGTCTAAAAAAAAGATAAAAGGAAATCTGAATACAAGAAAACGGACTAAACAAATCTACAAGGAAATCTAAATACAAGAAAACGGACTAAACAAATCTACAAGAAAATCTAAATACAAGAATACGGACTTGACAAATCTACAATTGGAAATCTAAATACAAGAAAACGGACTAAACAAATCTACAAAGAAATCTAAATACAAGAAAACGGATTAAACAAATCTGCAAGGAAATCTAAATACAAGAAAACGGACTATAACAAATTCCGCACAATCGTCTTTTAAGTCTCATCCTTTGTGGGTATTCCTGAAAATAGATATACTATCTTGGGGACCCGACAATTTGCCTTGAAACTAAAGTTTTTCTATAGATTTCAACACACTCAACTAATAATTTTTAAACCAAACATTTACGTGATTTAAGGCATATCGGTCATGGGGTTAATAAGTTATGATTGGTCATACAAACAGAAAAACAGAGATTACTACTATATGAAAAACCCCTGTCGTATTTATCACCTCGGAACTGATCAAAGACGACAAATAGTTTAGCTATGTATGTTCAGACGTTGGTTCAGACCTACGTTTACCAATAATAAATTAGCAATCTTGTACATAAGAAAACTTTTTTGAAACTTATTCATGATTAAACTCAATAAAAAATGATGTTAGATGAAAAAGTGAAAATGATCTCTTAAATAACTGTAAATGAATGAAATTAGGTTAAACTTCCCAACACACTGAATATCAAATTCAGAGCTTGGAATTATAAACCTGCTTTCTAGTGTCCTTTAGAGTATATACACACCACACACAACCATTTAAACAGTTTACTCTTACATCTTCACCAAAACAACAAATAGAGGCCACGGCGAGAAGGAGAAAAGTAGGGGNCCTGTACATGTGCACAACTCAATATTAAACCTGTACATGTGCACAACTCAATATTAAACCTGTACATGTGCACAACTCAATATTAAACCTGTACATGTGCACAACTCAATATTAAACCTGTACATGTGCACAACTCAATATTAAACCTGTACATGTGCACAACTCAATATTAAACCTGTACATGTGCACAACTCAATATTAAACCTGTACATGTGCACAACTCAATATTAAACCTGTACATGTGCACAACTCAATATATCAATTCTAGCCAAATGTCAAAAGCAACTGACCACTTGCTTTTTTATGCAACATTTTCCGAATCTAAGAATCATCTAAGAATCTAAATATCAAAGCTTACACCATCAGGTTGCAAAGATTATATTAGAAAAATTCGAGTGTTCAGTTCCTTTCCACTGTCTTCTTATACAATACAAAAACTAAATTTAAAAAATTAGAGCGTAAGTCCCAGATAATTATTTTTACATACAAACTTTTTTATATCATTTATAGAATACGATTTTATCATAATGTCCTTATTTTTATACCCAGAAGGTTGAGGTGCAGCTTTTCCTAATGTATAATCCAATCCGAAGGATTTGATTTTTGGAGTTATTCTGATCTCACTTTAGATGCAAGGTTTTACTGTGGAATATTGAAAATTAATTTATTTTTAGGATCGCCACAGAACAGTTTATCAAACGTTGTTTTATTCTTCGTTTTTAGTTGGAAAATTTTGTCAAACCCATTTTATTATAAAATTTAATTTAAGGATTAGCAAAAAGGTAAATAAAAGGCCAAATATTTTCATTGAGAGTGAAATATTGAGGTCTAAAATTTATATTAAATAATTGGTCTAAAAAGAGAATTGATAATATTTCAATCAACTTAAAGTTATAAAATATTAATATTTTCTTACAATAAAAATACAGAAAAAAAGTTTGTAATGATGGTTTTGTTAGAAATGACTAAATTCATAAGCTAACTGAGAATTCTGGATTAAGAGTTTGAAAATAAAAAAATAAGTACCATGATAACCATAGAACGACTTAATAACAATATTAAAGTGTATTTGAATCAAATATTAAATCAAATATTTTTACTAGACACTTATTAAATCACTTATTAAGCGAAACGGGTCCGTTTAAACTGCACAATTGCTGTGGCCCATGCACATTAAACTATTTTAAGTTCTGAATCTAAAAGTCGTCTTTCTATTTCACCGTTTTCTGGTTATCACTGTAGATAGTTGATTATTTCTAAATCGTCAATGATAATGGAAAGGTCGATTATTTTGACAGAATTGATTATTTTAGCATGATGATCACAATAGGCATAATCGATTATATTGCATGGATCAATTTTAATTGTACCATCAAATCTGAATATTTATAGAAACAATCGATTATGGCGTTTATTGGCATGCACTGTAAATATTTCTATTTTAAATACTATAAGGGACTGTAGACAACCTTAATTATTTAAAGGGACTGTAAAGAAAAAATGAAAGGGGGTATAGGCTTAAAGCTATAATCACTTTAGCTCTTGATCGTGACCATTGAAAGTTACATCTGATGTTTAAAAAGATCATATTCAGCAATTACGCAACCAATCTGAAAACGAAGATATCCCAGAGAAACATAATTGTGACTTAGGTTTCTCCAATTACTTCTCTTGAAGTTAAACCTGGGACATTCTGAAATTTTAATGAAAATGAATTCAATAGTTTTTACTTCATTCATGTTAAAATTGTTTTACTAACCCCTCACAGAATGAAGCATTTTTTAACTTTCTTTAAAAGTGTATTTTTTAGAACACCCTTTATAGTGCAAATATTGTAGTTATTTCAAATCACTCTGTATCTATATTTAGTATAACTCTATTTAGGTATATTCTATACCTAGACTAGTGCCTGGTCGGCTTTATACTGTTTGTACATTTATTTAAACTATAACTACCCCCTGATATGTTGCCTAGTTGCCTGCTATAGAATCAATAGTATGGGGGAATGAAAGGGGAATTTGATTTTCCCCATCTTCGCGTTTTCTTTCCTTTCTTTTCCTTTAACAAAGATAATCATATTTATTAAAATAATTGATTCAAGGCTATACAAGGACATTGCTTGGATGTCGAGAGGGAGAATGTGATGGAAGGGTGGAGGGGTAAAAGGGTGGGGATAAGGGGGAGGGGGTGAAGAAAAAGAAGTGAGGGTAGCTAAAAAACAGGTTTCCCTAAAATTTTCTTTTGCATCTTTTTAGAAATATAGGACAGAAATTAAAAAAGAATATCATTGGAAACAACAATTTTTGGTTTTCTTATAATCACTTTTTTCTAAAAATATCAACGATAAAATTTCAATAGACATATTTACACATAAATTAACTTAAAACATTTAGGAAATGTTCTGCAAAGTTATAATTCAATGATAGATTGCAATAAAATACAAGCTATTTTCATTTCAAAAATTCATTCCCCATAACCTAGAGATACGCATAGGTACATGATTGAAAGTATTTCACAATGTTTACATGTAAAAACTATGTTAGCTAGTAGATTTTTGTCTTTCTATGAGACTATTGAAGCAAGTTCTAAGCTTTGCATTAGATTTCTTTCTAATTTATGCAAAAATGACCTTAACACAGTTCTAGGCAGAAATTTATTTTCCATTGCAAATGATTTTTCTGTAAATCTTTCTGATCTTAGTAAAATGTTAGTTAAGAAAAAAATGAAATATTTTGATGTGTCTTTGAACCATGCATGGAAAGTTCTCGTTTTACAAGAACTTTTAAATACAAAAATGAATAATTTATATGTTGAAGGATTAGATGATTACGTAATAACTGAAGCGATAAATATGTTATGCAATGAGAAATGATCAATGTCGCCTATTTGTGCATAATTTTGCATATTTTTCTTTTTTCTTTTGTAAAACTATACATTCAATTTATTTAAACAAATTTAAACTACACCATTTATATATATATTTATATCTTTGTGTGTGAATAAATCTTTATAATATAATAATAATTACAAAGAATTGAAAGGGTTCAGAAACCTATTTTTACTTACAGTGAGAAAAAAAAGCTTTGGAATTGAAGACAATATTTGGCACAAATAATACTTTTAAAAAGTCCAATCAATATGGAATTATGCAGTGTGCACAAATTCCATTAAACTTAATAAGACTATTTCTTAAGCTTATAGTAAAACTATTTGCCTTTGAACAACATAAAATATTATACAATTACATTCTACCTCCTCTCGTACGTAAACCTGGGGGTCGCGGGGTGCAATTCAAACTGCCCTTATGTACATTTAGAGATTGCTTTTATGTCGTCTTTCTATTCCGAATTTTTCTGGTATTAAAAGTAGTAATTGTGATAATAATTAAACGTTTATTCAGAAGATATAATAAAAATGAGGTTGTTAGGGGTTTGTCTCCTGGTGCAGGTTTTAACTGGGAGCATTATTCTCCAGGACCCAGAGCAACAAAGGCAGGACAGGGCAGAACCAAATAAATCCTCTTAACTCTAAAATAAATATTAATTCGTGTATTGTAAAAATTCAGCTTTTTATAAATATGCAACTACAGAACACAATATTTTGGAAACTAGGGACACATCAGAGCTGATTTAGTTTTATGCTCCCTGACAGTTTTAGGACAATGAGTCAGATTATTTTAGTCCTTTAAATCTATATATATAATCCTGGATTATGGGTATTTTAAAATGTGTATTTGCAAATAGTAAACAATGAACATAAACAATCCCTTTAAGCTCTTTATCTTTATGATTTATCTTTTTAAATAGATAATTAGATAAAGTAACAACTTCAATTTTGTATATTATAGCAAACATATTCTCTTTTCCTACCGTAAATTTAAAAAAAAGAAGCAATTACTTTTCATTTTCCAACAAAATCAACTACTACTACTCTAACTTCGACTCAACCCTGACACTTTGGCTCAACCCTGACACTTTGGCTCAACTTTGGCCCAAAAATTCCAGAAAGTATATTTTGTAGGACTCCTATAGTTCTTTGGCATGGTATGGGGGACTCATGCTGTAATCCGTTCAGGTTATATTTTATTCTTTTATTATTATCATAATTTTTTATCGGTATCATTATTATCAGTATCTTAATATTACTATTTACATTGAAATTATTTTTATTATTATTTTAATTAAATTTAACTTAATAATGATATAAATGTCGTCTTCGAAGACATTCCTATTAAATAAAGAACCCTGAGTTTATATTTATTTAGCAAATGTTAAACCTCCTCCAGGAGAAGATACTAATATTATATTGATATATTTAGCATGACTTCGGTATTAAACCTTCTCTAGGAGAAGATACTATCATCTAAGTATGGGTAAACCATACTAAAGTGTATACTCTATCTATGCCACCCAACCAACCACAACATTTTGTCATGATAATTTTTGTAATCATTTTACATGCTATTCTTTTATAACATACGGGGTTACTAACACCCCCTAAAGCAAAATCAGAAGAAATAATAACTGATAAAGACTAGATAAACCGAGAAGAAAATCAAACATTTTATCCAAGAGAACGCGAACATCTATTTTTAAGAGATGGAAAACCCAGAGCATTAACACAACCTATATAAACCATAAACTCTGAAACAATAAATACTTTAAGATTTTCCACAATATCTAAAAATTTCAGTTTTAAACCTATTTTCCATTAAGTTTTATATTTTGAAGTCTCACCTAAATTTAAAAGTTTCAATTATTTTTACGACTACTTTACAAAGGTTTTTACTTACATTTTAAAATTTATCACATTTCTAAAAATTTCAATTTTTTGATTTTAATAGTTTACAAGATAGTTTTGAATTCACGTATTCTTTAATTGATTATTATTTTTGATATTTTTGGAACTATTTTCGATTTTCGAAAAATTTCCGAAATTTTTCGATTAAATTTATTAGTTTTAATTGAAAAATAATATTTTAAAACTTTGAATTACATTTTCCCTTTGCACCTTCTACTGGAGAATATACTAGTAGAAACCTTGAATATATTGATATATATATATCATGGGTTCGGTTTTACACCTTCTCCAGGAGAAGACACCAGAAGAACCCTGAGTATATTATTATATTTAGCATGGGTTCGGTTATAAACCTTCTTCAGGAGAAGATACCAGGAGTATACGTTCTCAGTTTAATGATAGGTAAGTTTTAATAGAAATAGATTTGTTAAATTATATGTGGCTATATAATTTATTAGCTACTAGGCTTTTAGGGCGCTTCCCGCCCATCTTCCATTTTAATTGTAAACATTTTCTCTTTGCATACATTGTAAAAAAAAACCGCGGAATTTATAAAAAAATGTCGTGGATTTTCAAAATTTTCAAAAATCGAATTTTGTTAGAGGAGAATTTTTGAAAACTCGATTATCCATAGACCTTCCTTGGGGCCATGTGATGTCCCACACAAAATTTGGGCCCGATCGGTTCAGCCGTTTTGACGTTTATTGGATACACACAAGCAAAGTTTTTTTGTATCCAATAAACGACAAAACGGCTGAACCGATCGGGCCAAATTTTTTGTGGGACCTTGCGTGACCCCATTGAAGGTTTATGGTTGATAATCATAATAGGAGCAAACCTAAGTTATTCAGGCTTTTCTGGGTTGTCGTAGTTTTCAGATAGGTTGCGTATTTGCTGAATATGCCCTGTTTAAAACTATCAATTTCTCGAGTCTGAAACATCAGATTATAGTACTCTTATAGGTCTTCAGTAACTCCTAAAGTGCTTAGGTTTAAGCCTATACCCCCTTTCATTTTTTTTATTTACAGTCCCTTTAATTCAGCAAACTATTGTACATCTCCTAACCAATCTTATAATATTCTTACAAGTTAAAATTCCAAATGAGTCAAATTATAACCTTAAACTCTAATAAACTACTTACCTTATTTCGGTCAAGAGATGTTGGTAAATATCTGGGGCAGCTTTTGAAAGATCATTTATTTGAAAAATGTTGTAAAATACTTTCTTTTAAAAGTAAATAGTGACGTTGTTGAATCAATATATTCTTATGATCACATAGATTTAATAATAATCGTTGACATTTTGAAGCTAGAAAAGAAGAGAATTCATAAACTTGAAATATCTAAGGTCTACGACCTATAGGTTGCAAAGAAAAAGGGATTAGAAAATTTGAGTTTGTGACAAAAACTCAATTTCTTTATATAAGGTTTTACGATAAAAGAATGTGCATGCATAAACGTTCTAAAAGCTTATAGATAGTATATATAGAATATGTATAGTTCTCCTTTGATGACATTTAAAGGGAGTGTTTGCGAAAAATGAAAGGGGATATAGGCTTACGGCGGAAAATAATCGCATTTAATCGCTACTAATCTTACTTATATCTGTTGCGTTAGAAAGTTGCAACATACAACTCGTATCGTAAGTAATAAATTTAATTTCAAACAAATCATTTAGATATTACAACCTAAAGTCATCGATTATATTTCGACGCATTCATATATAGTTAATATTTCATAATATTTGTTATTTGTTTAATATACAAATGCACTTAAAACGACGTTTTTTTCCGCTAGGTGTCTTTGCCACTTGTAATCATTCAAAGCATTGAGAGCAGAGACAAATGGCGGCCAACTATTTCGGTGTTTTAAGTGCATTGTATACAAAAGGAATAACAAATATTTTGAAATAATAACTATATACGAATGCGTCGAAAAATATTTGATGACTATAGGTTGTAATATCTGAATGATTTGTTTAAAATTAAATTGAATATTTTACGATCCGAGTCGTATATTGCAACTTTCTGAATCACGGGCAGCCGTAGTACATTTGAATTTCCGAGCCGGGTCAACCTTTCCGGTTCCAGTTTGTACTGTATCGCCCAGACACTCAATAGGACTAGCCGGTGCAACAAGGTTGACGCGGTCAGACTTTAGGTTGAATTTACTGTTACTGAAGGGTCATGGGTGCGTGGAATTTGTATGGACGTTACGTTCTTCGGTATTAGTCGTTTTTAACAATTTTTTCCTTATAGACGCAACACATAGAAATAAGATTAGTAAAGTGATCAAAAGCGATTATTTTTCGCGAACACTCCCTTTCATGAATTCATATTTCATTTTGAGAGGACGGTACAAAGAAACCTGTCTCTCTGTTGACATGTGTTTTGCTTAAATATATTCGAGGTCTTCAGAGAGACAGAGATAGATAGAAGGAGATACAGGGAGGAATAGACGGAGATAGAGAAAGCTATATAATGAGATAGAGAGAAGGATAGATCGAAGGAGATTGAGAGAGGGATAAAAGGAGATAGAGAAAAGGATATAAATAAATAGAGAGAAGGATAGAAGAAAAAATAGATAGAAGGAGATAGAGAGAGGGATAGAAGAAGATAGAGAGAGGGATAGAAGGAGATAGAGAAAGGTATATAATGAGATAGAGAGAAGGATAGAAGGAGATAGATAAAGGGATAATATGAGATAGAGAGGAGGATAGAAGGAGATAGAGAGAAGGATAGAAGGAGATAGAGAGAGGGATAGAAGGAGGTTGAGAGAAGGATGGAAGGAGATTGAGAGAGGGATAAAAGGAGATAGAAAAAAGGATATAAATAAATAGAGAGAGGGATAGAAGAAAATAGAGAGAAGGATAGAAGAAAAAAAGATAGAAGGAGATAGAGAGAGGGATAGAAGGAAATAGAGAGAAGGAAAGAAGGAGATAGAGAGAAGGATAGAAGGAGATAGAAAGAAGGATAGAAGGAGATAGAAAGAAGAATATAAGGAGGTTGATAGAGGGATAAAAGGAGATAGAGAAAAGGATAGAAGGAGATAGAGAGAAGGATAGAAGGAGATAGATAGAAGGATAGAAGGAGGTTGAGAGAGGGATAAAAGAAGACAGAGAAAAGGAAATAAATAAATAGAGAGAGGGATAGAAGAAAATAGAGAGAAGGATAGAAGAAAAAAGAGATAGAAGGAGATAGAGAGAAGAATATAAGGAGGTAGAGAGAGAGAGAGACCCAACGAGAAAAAAGAAAGATAGTCATTTCGCATGCTTCCCCCTTATTGGATTGGATCAACGAGGTTATAGTATATAGAGTGATGATGTACGCTAATCCTTTACTAATTGTACAGGCCATGTACTTCACTTCCAAAAGTCAATCAGTATGTTACAGTACTCGGGGGTGATTTATGAAAATATTTAAATGGAGAATTTGAATTCCATGAAACTATTAAAATCCACTACTCCTTTATCGTGTGCAGGATTCCATTTTTACAGGATGACGTACTTTATTACATTTACAGTCTTTTGCAGAGCAATATTTTATCGTTAATAAACTGTTCTGAGAAAACTGAGTAAAATTCAAGATACAAAACCTCCCCATACACTTGTACTCCGAAAGCGTACTGCATATTTTATGTTTGTACTGTATGAATAGGCCATCATCTCCTAATATACACTCTTAATGTACACTCAGGCTAATACACACGGAGAGGTATAGCTAAGATACAGCCCCCCTGGATTGGATACATCAGAATGATTTAGTTTGAGTGGTATAATGTGATACAGGATACAGAGAATAATTAATTTCAAAATTTATGTGATTCAGGATACAAAACACTAATTTTTTTTTATATTAATGGGATACAGGATACACAGAATTATTATTTTCGCTTTTTAGGTAGTAATGTGATACAGGATACTGAGAATGGTTTCTTTATGAATATAAACGATCAGATCTCTGAGGCCTGCTCCACAATCAGAAATGACTCCAGGTATGAAGTTGAACAATAAACTCTAGAAAGAATGAGATTATTGTTAAAATAGAACATTTTATCTTTGTTTTTACTTTAATCTTACAGATATGGGAATGATTCATCCGATGTAACGTCCATATTTTGGTGTTGGGATATTTCATAGAGATACATTTCATAGATAGGACAGTACTTAGAAGACATGATAGTATTTTTCATAGACAGGCCATTTCATAGACATAGAATATTTTTCATAGACAGGACATTTCATAGACACAGAATATTTTTCATAGATAATTTCTTTTTAACAAATCATACCCTGTTATTTCTACGATATCTCTGATTTTTATTTCACATAAAAAAGGCAGTGTTCGCGCTTTTGATCGCGACTAATCTTACTTCTATCTGTTGCGTCTATAAGTAGAAAATTGTCAAAAAAAAAGACTCATGCTGAAGAACGTAGCCTCCATTCAAATTCAGAAAGTTGCAACATTCAACTGGGATCGTAACATAATCAACTTAATTCTTAACAAATCACTCATATATTGAAAACAATAGTCATCGATTATTTTTCGACGCATACTGGCATTCATATATAGTTCATATTTTATAATTAATTGATTTTAAAAAATAATATTTCGATGGCGCTGGATTTTCGAACATTCCTTGAAAATATAAAAAATGTCGTCTTCATTATCAAAAATCCTCGAAACAGGATAAAATTTTTCAAAAGTAACTATCAGATGATAAAAAGAATATTTTGAAATATCAACTTTATACGAATGCATCGAAAAATAATCGATGATTATTGGTTGTAATATTTGAACGATTTGTTCGGAATTTAATTGATTTTTATACGATTTGAGTTGAATGTTGCAACTTTCTGAATTTGAACGGACGCTACGTTCTTCGGTATGAGTCGTTTTAACAATTTTCTCTTTTTACACGCAACAGATAGAAGTAAGATTAGCAGCGATCAAAAGCGCTTATTTTTTCGCCGTAACCCTATACCCCATCTAATTTTTTCGCGAACACTCCCTTTGGTAATGCTTTTGCTTTAAACTAATAATATTTACAGCTTTTAGATATCTTGTTATTTGGAACAAACACATTGCAAAATTATGTATTGATCTGTATTTCATAAAAAATTGATTAAATTAAAACTGATCTCATTTTCCAAATATGTGGCACATTTTCATTAACCAAAAACCCTATTTAGTCTCTGAATTTTTTTATCTGTAAACTCTTCTCTGTCTATGAAATTACCTGTATTCGAAAAATCTGCTCTGTCTATAACATGTCCATATCAATGAAATATATCTCTATGAAATGTCCCGCTACGAAATGACTTTTTATGAAATGTCCCAACACCCCTTTTGGCCCTAATGTTTTAATGTGTATACTGTATAATTTAGGTCGGCCTTCTACTTCAAATAAACCGCCGCGCATTGTATTCCTCCTTAGCATTAGTTCTCAAACTACGGGTTTAGTAAATATAACCCTTTTTTGTCTGTTCACTTTATTTTATTTTTTTTTGTGTAAGACCGACATTGGTATTGGAGTTGCATTTTATTTTTGTTTTTATTCGGTGAGCACATGGGCAGTATCCCTAGTTTTATGATCAAACCGCAGCAGCTGAAACACATCTCACAAATTAGGGAGGATGGTTTCTTTCTAGAAAATAGAAAATATTAGATAAATGTACGGTAGTAAAGAGGAAAGTATCTCAGTGTAAATACAATTTAGTATACTGACCCGTCAAGCAAAGTTAGAACTTTATCAAGAATGGATCTCCATCTTATGCAGATCTATATTGATTAATTTAATTCCACTTTCTTATCCTGTGGTGGTCATACCCTAACTTTCATTGGTTCATTTGATACTCATATATTAGGATATTAGGTTGTTAATAGAACCTTTGGTATAGATTTTAAAAATGCACTTCATATCCTCGCAGACCACAAAAATCTTCTATTTTTGTAATTTCCAATTATGTTCCACATAAAACATATTCGGGGACGGCAAAAAGGTTTCCGGTCCTGTAGATTTAAAAAAACAAAATTTACCAAATATAATAAAATTTCTAAATATTTTTATATTTTATTATTTATTTAATCTTGATACTTTTCTATTTCTCTGGGATTTATAATTTAAAATGTCAAACTTGAACCCACAATTTCACAAAATGTTAAATATAGAAAATTTTGAATAAACTTGAAGCCATTCGATCATTTCTCCAATTAGATCAATGCATAAACTCTCTACAGATTAATAATTTATTCTATTTAGAATAAAATAAAATATTTATCACTGCATTCTAGTTGGTCAAATAAATTTAAAAAAACAGAAAAATGTATCATGTATAAAATTAGAATATAACTGCGTTTTGAGAAGAAACGAATTTAATGTTGTAACGAATTCAGATCAGGAATCAAAAGTTTTTCTTTAATGCGATATAACAGATGTTTTTCTTTGCTGTCGCCAAAGCGCTTCAGGATTTTAGTATTTCCATTCAATATAGAATTTTAAGTACTTGTGTAAAAATTTCTGGTTTTCGCTTTTCTTATTTTTCAAATATACAGTTTTCTTATCCTTCAAATATACAGTTTTCTTATTCTTCAAATATACAGTTTTCTTATTCTTTAAATATACAGATTTCTTATTCTTCAAATATGCAGTTTTATTATCCTTCAAATGTACAGTTTTCTTATCCTTCAAATATACAGTTTTCTTATTCTTCAAATATAGTTTTCTTATTCTTCATATATACAGTTTTCTTATCCTTTAAATATACAGTTTTCTTATTCTTCAAATATACAGTTTTCCTATCCTTCAAATATACAGTTTTCTTATTCTTCAAATATACAGTTTTCTTATCCTTCAAATATACAGTTTTCTTATCCTTCAAATATATCCATTAATATTGAAGTATACAAGGTTTAAACCATCGGGTTGGAAAGATATAGGGATTAGTAAATTTTAAAAAAATTAAAGTGTAAACGAGTTTTTTTGTAACATGCTATTAGTGAAAATTCAAATCTTATAAATGTTTCTTAGACATCTTGTTTGATGAAACCCACTAAAACTCTGGAAAAGGAAGACGACATTAAGAAATTTTACATATGCATTTTCTGTTATAAAGCAAATGATTTACTAATTGTAAAAAAATCAACTTAAGTGGAACGGGTTTGTGAACAAACACAATTGCTGTGTTTATGTTTATTTGACTTCTTGAAATCATAACTTCAGTTGGCATGGTTCATGTTTTAGGTTAAAAAATTACTAAAATGCAACAATATTTTATCAATTGGAAAATGCGTGTTATGTTTTATTCATCAATAGATTTTTATTAAACTTTAGAATAGAAAAAAACTGATTTTTTAATCGATTTTTTTAAAAAAGAAAAAATGTTAAATAATTTTATTTCGCGTTGTTTGTGTTAAAAAAAAAAATTAGCACTTGTCTTACTATATTTGATATTTTTAACCTCAAACATGAATTCTGAAAACATTTTCATTGTGGTCTGTAAACTAAATCTAATGCCGTTTTTTTACTCACTTTGTAAGTAATATAAAAAAAAGAACACAAAAAGAACTAAAAATTCCCCACAAATTATAATTTTCTAATCTCTACATCTTTGCAAGCTGGTCTTGTAGACTTTTGATATTTCAAGCTATGACTTCTGTTAGCTAAGAATGTCTAAAGGAATTGAGTTGTTCACAAACTTATATTTCTAATCCCGATATCTTTGCTACCCAATGTTGTAGACCTTAGATATTTTAAACTATGAATTCTGTTAGATAGAAGAAAAGGGTCAGTCTGCATTGCGTAAAAAAAGAAAAAATTAACCCTAAACTAATCTAAAATAATTTAGAACTACTGCTCCTCATGCAAAAGTGGTTTGCCTTGCCGAATTTTAACTCATTTTATGAAGTGTCCTGTCCCAAAACATGTCTATTTTTAAGCTCGTCAAATACACGATGATAATTTCAAGTGATCCTCCATTTAAAGAGGGCCATGCTAGATTCCCAATGATAACGTGTAAACTTTTATCTGATTGATGATTTAGGAGTGTTTTCCAAAGGGTTGCGAATTGACAATTTTATATTGGAGATATCGCCGTAAGGCCAAAAAATATTTCAAAAGATAAATATGATACATTATTTTCTTGGAAATTTCATGCTGAATTCAGATTCGAAAACCACTTTTAAATATATTAAAATCTAAAGAAGTTATGGCCAAATAACGGTACTAAATTCCAGTATTATAACTTTTTAATGTTTTTGATGAGTTTTTTAGCTGTGACTCACTCAATTTTCAATTTTTTAAAACGCTTTTCAGATGATGAAGAAAATGATGTATAACATGAAAATAAAAAATTAAATTTTTGTTTGTAGCCTTACGGTAAAAACGCAGCGACTTCCGGTGGGCAGTTGGCTCTATTCCAATATTGATCACCCCTACTGGACATGCCACTCCATAAATGGAAGGTCACTTGAAATTACGTCTCTAGTCCCTTAAAGACACACTTTGAGTTGAAAGTCTAATGCTAAAAACTTTCATCTACAAATTTTAAAAATCGTTAAAAATAATAATATTATAACATCTTTATATTGCATAATGCATATTCTTCTACACATTCTCTAAAAAGGTTAACAATACAACAGCAACATACAGTTAAAAAATGTAATTATCACGGAAAAAATCTTGCAATGCTTTCATTTAGTAACAATATTATTCTAATAAAGTCTAACGTTAGAAACATTAAGGCTTGAACAACGCAACGTATAGAACATTTTTTCAAATCTTTCTTAGAAACGAAACGAATAAACAGTTTTGATTGTCAGTTGTAAAAAAGTGTAACAAAAAAGTTTTCACAATAACGTTTCGATAAATCGTAACGTAAGAAAAGGTGCATTTTAGTAAAATTTCTAAACGTAATTAAAAGAGTTTATATTGGAAAAGTTAAGATAAAACGTAACGTTATCAAAAAATATTCTTTGCACTGAAATGCATTGTAACGTACAGAACTATGCCCCAATGACGTTTTATAAAAGCAAAACGTTTGTCATCTTTTAGATCTTAAACCAAGTGAAAGTGTAACGTAAGGTCTCTGAAAATATTTACCTTGCATGAAAGTGGAACGTTAAAAAATTGTGGTTTTATTACATAAGCTTTAACGCAACGTTGGGAACGTTTTTTAATACGGGAAATGCAAAAGCGTTACGGAGCTTACTGTTTTTTTTTCAACATTTACTAAAGCTTAACGTTGTATATGGTATTCAAGTGCAGAAAATTCATCACGTAACGTTACTCTATGCCATAAAATTTCATAATGTGCAACGTAACGTTTCAAACGTTAATACTTTTGATGAACACTATCGTAACGAAAGCTAAAATCTAGAAAAATCAAAACGTTGACATCTCTAGTAATTGGCAAAATCTTTATCGATTTTTGAGTGAGAGTTTGCAACCGTTTGGATCACAGTGACTTAAAATTACGTCTAAAGTTCCTTTAAGTAAATCGTAAGAAGATTTTTTGCATCCAAATAAACAAAGTCTAATACATTCGCAATCTCTGTCCACCCCTGAATAAAATCATTAAGTTTGTATTCACTGACTAACATTATTAGATTCTCTATATTCTGAGTTAATGAACGTTTGTTAGTATCAATCAAGATAGGTTGTATAAAGGTTGTTTATTAAAGGGAGTGTTTGCGAAAAATTAAAGGGGGTGTAGACTTACAGCGAAAAAAAAAGCGCTTTTGATCGCTACTATTCTTACTTTTATTTATTGCGTCTGTAAGGAGAAAATTGTTAAAAACGATTCATGCTGAAGAACGTAGCGTCCATACAAATTCAGAAAGTTGCCACATTCAACTCTAATCGTAAAAAAATAAATTTAATTCAAAAAAAAACATTCAGATATTACAAACAATAGTCATTGATTATTTTTCGACGCATTCGTATATAGTTAATATTTCATAATATTTTTGATTTTGTTTTTTAAAGATAATATTTCACTGGCGCTGGATTTTCGAACATTCTTGGAAAATATGAAAATGTCGCCTTCAATATAAAAAAATCCTCTAAACAGGAATAAATGTTTTCAAAAGTAATTATCGGGTCATAAAAATTAAAAAATATTATGAAATATCGACTATATATATATATATAAATGCGTCGAAACATAATCGATGACTTTTGTTTGTAATATCTGAATGATTTGTTTGAAATTAAATTGATTTTTTACGATCCGAGTTGAATGTTGCAACTCTCTGAATTTGTATGGCCGCTACGTTCTTCAGTATAAGTCGTTATAGACGCAACAGATAGAAGTAAGATAATATTTGATTAATAACTACATTGAAGAGAAAAGGCTCAATTCAACCTTTAGATCATCATTTATCAAAGTTTGAGGTCGTCATTAAAGCCTAATCCTGTATGGGTAACCCTGTATATGAAACCTGTATTGAAAATACAATTATCATTAGAAAAATAGTTCTGATGGCAAACTTCCAATCCTGACCATCTGGTCTCAGACTTAGGGCCATACCAAGTCCAGCACAAACATTACAATTTATATAATAATAATTAAATTATAATGATGGTTAGTTTCATGGATTTTCTGATAATTTTTTTTCCTTGATTAAGAAAGAAAATAAAGAAAGTAAATCATATTCTAAATAAATATCGGTAGCTGAGCAGGAATTATATCTGATTTAGCAGTTCTATTGTATTTATTTAAAGCTGAACCCGGCACTTTATAAGCCTTTCATGAAATATTTTCTATTATATTCTTGGTATTTCTTCTGAAACGAGAATGTTCGAATCGATCTATAAACGTTGTATCCAACAAACGTCAAAACGGCAGAACTGATCGGGTCCAAATTTTTTATTGCAAGTGCAACCAACATGACCCTGCAGGGAAGGTTTTTAAACCGTCCAAATTGAAAATGTCTTTAAAATAATACGCTATTTAAGATAGAAAATTCGCAAAAATTTGAGAATAATAAAAAATTGGGATTATCTTCAGAGCAATACTAAAATTGTTAATAGAAAAGGGAGAACGAAGAAGCGTATAAGTACTTTAGAAACAATGTGAGTACAATTTAAGCTTGAATTTGATGTTCTGTAATTGTATTTGAAAAACAAGAAATCTTAATTATAACAATTAATGGACGGCCTTGTAAAATGTCAGAGCTGGATTTTAGTAAAACTGTCAATTAAAGAAATTCAGTTTTATAGATATGTACAGCGGTGGATACAGAATTTAAGTGAGGGGGCTGCTAGATTTATTTCGGAACAAAAAAATCCAGATTTAGGAACAAAAAGACGTGCCGCAAAATTTTTTTAAGGCAGATGTTTTTTCCTGTTTTGCACTAGGTTTTCTTTCCCTTAAGTGATATTGAGAAGCTATTCTGAAATCTCCCCCCTCTGAATCCGTAAGGGTGGTGCGAAGGTCCTTCTGCCCCCCCTGTATCCACCCCTGGATATGTATGTACAAATAAGCGGACAAATTAACGTCAATTCTGACCTCTGAGTTCTTTTTTATTTTAAACTATCTTTGCCTAAATTATATTGAGTCGAGGGAGAACTGAGAAGTTTCTATACTAGAAACTATTAACTGGTGCAGAATACTTGCCCAGACTTCAATAACGGTTAAGTACCCAACCAACATTATACAACCTTCAACACACTTTTTACAAATTAAATTTTTAGATTAAAGGGACAGAGCATGAATCTTTGTGGATTTACTATTTTTCAGTGTTTTCAAAGAGATGAGCATAATTGTTATGAACGAACAAATTTTTGAGAACAAATGAAAATTTTCGGTGTCGTGCAGAAACAAAACGAATGATCTGAACGAAGGGCTTGGATCGTTCATAAAAATGACAAATTAACATTTTTTTTAAACGAAATTTGAAAAAAAAAAACAATTTAAAATTGTTCTAATGATGAAATTTTTTTTTTTTTACTGAACGAACAATTTTATTGAATGAACAATTTTACTGAACGACATTCAGTGAAATAATGAACAAAATAGATGGAAAATGAACAACAATTTTGAAAACGAATGGAATAAATTTTTTAACGATTAAAACGCAAAATGAATCGTTCTCGAAAAACGAACGCCCATCTCTAGCCACGGCACTTTTTTAATGCATTTTAATTCGAATTATAATAATTTTCTCCTCTCTTATTGATCGAATAGTCAATTGAGGTTTGATATAAATAAAATAGAAATCATGATTTCTTACTCAGCATTGTACAATGTAATGTATACAAACTTAATTTACAATATACGTACAATGTGTGTATTAATTTAGGATCTTATTTCTAAGATGATCGAACATAAATATTAGTCACTGATGAATGCATTTCACTTCTTTAAACGCTCAAAATACCCTTATCTTAATTTTATAATTTTTTAGAAATGATTTAATTTAAATTGGTTGCAGCGGGCTTTGAAAACTTTAGTAATTAATGTTTCCTGGTTCTCTGCAGGTTGACAGGAGGGTTCCATGCTGTTGGATTCTCTCAGGGAGGATTATTCCTACGTGGACTTGTTCAACGATGCGGAGATCTCAAGGTTCGAAACCTAGTTTCAATAGGTGGACCTCAACAAGGTGAGTGAGTCAGAACCTCTACAGGGGGAGTAATTCGAACAGAGTTACCGGATGATAATGGAACCTAGCATCAAAAGGATTGGGAGGGCCTTACCAGGCCATGGGTTAAAACGGTTTTCAAAGGAGTATAAAGGGATTGTAAGTGACCATCCATGCAAAGATGGTAAGACCCGATTCACAACAGTACCCATAAACTCTACATAATTAAGATCCAACACAATCAATACCCCCAGGATCAATATAATCCCAACCTAGTATAAAGAACTGTCACTTTACATACTGTACGCTGGTTATTGAATTCTAAAAATAATGGAAAGTGTTTGATACCTGGGTTCACATCAAAAGAGATTTTTATCCCTTTACAAAATTGATTTTATGTCATATCTGATGCCTAGCATGCACTTTAAGGACCAACATTCCAAAATTAAAAAAATGGATATTTTAAAAACTTTTGTAATATTTTGTAGAAACAATTGCAAATACTGGACCCATTGCAGGCACAGAACAGGTAGTATAGAACCAGTACTGACACCGACGGCCCTGCCAGAGTGGCTCGAAAGGGATTTACTAACCATACCGTACATTATTGTCTGCATAAAAACTCTCCACAGTGGGTTCAGTGATTCCAGGGAGAGATCGTGGCTAGAACATAGTCTTAGTAATTATGAAAAACAAATATTTTATTTCTTTAAGCCCATTGTGCATTTTTACATAAACGTTGCAGCATTGAGCACTTTCCAACGACATGTACCAGCTTGTCAGACGCAGGTACGCGTCAGTGCTTATTCTATACTAACTGCTCTGTGAAAGCAGGGGATGTCAAAAACACATTTTACTTTATCATGTCTCAATTTGAGGTCGTCTTGTGTGTCTAGCAAGGTTGAAAATTGCAAAATTTTTATTTTCTTTCACATAAATTTATAAATTATTTTTGGTTTGTATTATCATGTTTTTGATTTGTTCTATGTTAAAAGAATAATTTTACTTAAAAATATATATTTCCAACTCTAAAATATAGTTAGCCATATTGTGTTGATTAGTTTTGAAGGTTGGCATTGTTTTCCTATTAATGGCTCTGCAGCTCTGGTAAACCCATCTTTGGCCTTCTGTCCCACAACAGGTCCAACTGCTTCAGTCACCTGTTTTACTGCTCTCTCAGTAGTCTGAGTATGAAATATTAAAATCTTGGGCTCTGAATTCTTAATATCTGAGATTAGGAATGAGCATGTGAACACAGGCTCAAGAAAACTCGTGTTTCACAAAAATTATTCAGGTCCCGGGGTTTTATTAATGGTATCACTGCTGCAGAGGAAATTTTATTCATAGGATAATAATGGTTAAATTTAGAAGAAAAAAAATAGTTAAAAAGGTTTCCCTTGCCCACATTTTGACAGTATTATGTAAAGAATTGTGCAGTTCTTTGAACTAAAAGGGTTTTAACGAAATATAGTGACGAGATAGGCAAACTTTCCCAGTTGTTCTTCTATTTACATTTCAACCTCTCTTTCTGGCAACACTCCCAAAAGTCTGAGAATTCTTGCCCTGATTATAAGTCTTTATTTTACAATTACAGGAAGCTGACACTTGTGGTTTGACCTATTTCAGAGCTTTATACAAAAGGTGCCTCTGGCTTCTTATCTGCAGCTGTATTTACTTGTATATATACCCTTCTGTAGACTATTTCTGTTTGCAGGTACTTCAGTAATTAATGCAGCAATCCCTATATTTGTTAACCTGAACATATCTAGATATATTACGATTAGCCTAGCCTAGCTGCACCTGTAAACCTGTAATTAACTTATAACATTGGTAGTAACTGGCTTAACTACGCTTATATCTATCCGTGCTAATCTTGTAAATACATACATTAAACTTAAACTACGCTATATATATATATATATATATATATATATATATATATATCAGCATAAAACTTGTAATTACGTCAATTAATGTTGACTCATAACATAGATCTCTAAATACAAATCAGTTGGTATACTCTCCATTTGGATTACAGTGATAGAGTTATTTGGTCCTCGTTGAAACATATGAGCAGAGATCATGCCCATTGGTTTGGCATTGATTGATTAAGAGCTTTTGTCCGTGTTTTCATCAATAACTAGTCCTTGTTGAAACATACATACTGAGATCGTGCCCAGAGGTTTGGCATTGATCGATTAAAACCTTTTGTCCGGGTTGACATTGATAGCTAGTCCTCGTTGAAACATGTGAGCTGAGTATGTGCCCAGAGGTTTGGAATTGATTGATTAAAAGCTGTTATCCGTGTTGACATTGATAGCTAGTCCTTGTTGGAGCATAGAAGCTAGGATCATGCCCAATGGTTTGGCATCGATCAATTAAGAGCTTATGTCCCCGTTGACATTGATAGCTAGTTCTGGTTGAAACATACAAGCTGAGATTGTGCCCATTGGTTTGGCATTGATCGATTAAAAGATTGTGTCCATGTTGACATTGATAGCTGACGAGTTGTACCTGGATTGAAACAGTTCTGGACGAAGTTTTAAGAGTACTGCATTTACTACACTTCAATTGGGTTTATAGTTTGTTTCTGGATATTAGGCTTAGAAGCATTTCCTTGATGTAGTTAAAGTTTTACCTTATGCCATGACTGAAATAAATTTTTAATTGATATGATTGCTACACCAATGTTATATCTATTATGCTTACACTATACAATGTACACTTTAGATTTACTCTGTGAAGTTGAATTCCATAGAGTTCAAGTGTACTCTGTGTATTCTCCATGAGTAACTGATTACAATGTATTACTCAAGGTTATAATGCAAGGAAAGTTATTTCATTGGTGTACGCATCTTTTGTTCTGCAGTGTACTGTCTATTGGCGGTAAAGTAAACACAAGGCGGATGTCGAAGAGTGACATGGGATCCATCTTTCACATAAAAAAACCAATGAAATATTCTGGTCATAGGAAACTATTATGTGAATTATCTACTAGACGAACACTGATGCATCTATTCTTGTTTACAAATTCCGCCCAGAGAGAACTGATTTCAATATGTACGCAGAGTATACACAACTGCAATTAACTTTCCTTGTATTATAACCTTGGTATTACAATACTTGGCAGGAAGGCAAAAAAAAGATTGCCTCAATATTAGAAAATATTGTTTTTACAAGGGAATTCGAGCATATTGAAACGTTTTTATAGAATCTTAATATTTCAAAGGAAAATTCGATAACCCCTGAGCGTAAAAAGTACACTGTTCAGTGTGCAATGTGCATAGTTACGAAAGAATTTATATATATATATATATATATATATATATATATATATATATATATATATATATATTGTAGGAGTGTACGGACTACCCCACTGCCTTGGTGAAGATCATACAATTTGTGATTATATAAGAAGATTACTCAACTACGGAGCATACACTTCCTGGATTCAGAGATTACTTGTACAGGTACTAGTTAGGCAAAACAGATTACTTGTACAGGCACTAGTTAGTCAAAACAGATTATTTGTACAGGCAATAGTTAGTCAAAACAGATTATTTGTACAGGTACTAGTTAGTCAAAACAGATTACTTGAACAGGTTCTAGTAAGTCAAAATAGATAACTTGTACAGGCACTAGTTAGTCAAGAAGATGTCTTGTACAGGTTCTGTTAGTCAAAACAGATTATTTGTACAGGTACTAGTTAGTCCAAACAGATTACTTGTACAGGCAATAGTTAGTTAAAACAGATTACTTGTACAGTACTAGTTAGTCAAAACAGATTACTCGTACAGGTACTAGTTAGTTAAAACAGATTACTTGTACAGGCACTAGTTAGTTAAAACAGATTACTTGTACAGGTTCTGTTAGTCAAAACAGATTATTTGTACAGGCATTAGTTAGTCAAAACAGATTACTTGTACAGGTAATAGTCAGTCAAAACAGATTACTTGTACAGGCACTAGTTAGTTAAAACAGATTGCTTGTACAGGTTCTGTTAGTCAAAACAGATTACTTGTACAGGTAATAGTTAGTCAAAACAGATTATTTGTACAGCAACTAGTAAGTCAAAACAGATTACTTGTACAGGCACTAGTTAGTTAAAACAGATTGCTTGTACAGGTTCTGTTAGTCAAAACAGATTATTTGTACAGGCATTAGTTAGTCAAAACAGATTACTTGTACAGGTATTAGTTAGTCAAAACAGATTACTTGTACAGGCAATAGTTAGTCAAAACAGATTATTTGTACAGGCACTAGTTAGTCAAAACAGATTATTTGTACAGGCACTAGTTAGTCAAAACAGATTATTTGTACAGTAACTAGTAAGTCAAAACAGATTATTTGTACAGTAACTAGTTAGTCAAAACAGATCACTTGTACAGGCACTAGTTAGGCAAAATAGATAACTTGTGCATGTACTTAGTAAGTCCAAAAAGACGTCTTGTACAGGTACTAGTGAGTAAAAATTAATTACAGTGTACACTGTACCACGTAACATGTTGTTATAAACACTGTAAAATTGTAAGTTTACAGCATTGTAAAATTCTAGAAAGGTTAGCGTAGCGAGATGCTTCCAAATATTTCATGATTATAAAATTAAGTGTTTTTAAAGATATAATATTTGTTTCCAGGAATCTGCAAAAGATCGGAGAATTCAAAATGTAAATATTAAAATATTCATAGGATGGAAATATTTTCAACTATTTACTAACCATGCAGTGAGAGCCAGAAAACTAGGAGGATGACAGCAATTGTGCGGTGTAAACAGACCCATTTCACTGAATAAGTGATTCAATAAGTCACAACCAAAACTATTTGCTTTGTGACAGCATCAAATACACTTTATTATTTTATTTTCTGGTTATCACTGCATGTATATAGTACAGAGTTTCATCTATTTGAAAATTAAACATTTGTTCTTAGAAACTGTTATCTATGATCACTATAACGTATTTACTTAATTATTTATCAAAATTCTAAACTATTAACTTAAATTGTTCAGATAAATTATATGATATGTGTTATGCATATTGTATCTTGTATCCTGTATCCTGTATTCTGTATTCTATATTCTGTATCCTCTATCCTGAATCCTGCATCCGGTATCCTGTATCCTGCATCCTGTGTCCTGTGTCCTGCATCCTGTATCCTGTATCCTGTATCCTGTATCCTGTATCCTGTATCCTGTATCCTGTATCCTGTAACCTGTATCCTGTATCCTGTATCCTGTATCCTGTATAGGCCCAGTACTGGCATGATCCACGAGCTGAAGAGGAGTTCTCGGAAAAATCACTGTTCCTAGCAGATATTAACAATCAAGGTTAGAACCATAATTTTACCTTGATCAACTGGATTAACCTGGATACCTTAATTTCATTAAACCGATTGATCATATTTATAATCTTTTTTACATTACTTAGCCGAATTAGATATATATCCCAAATTACATTGATTACCCTGATTACAATAATTACCATGATTACGTAGATTATCCTGATTACATTAATTACCATGGATTACATTGATTACCCTAATTACATTGATTACCCTGATTACATTGATTATGCTGATTACATTGATTACCCTATTTACATTGATTACCCTGATTACATTGATTACATTGATTACCGTGATTATATTGATTATCATACTTTTTTTCTTTGATTGCCCCAATTGCATCAAATACTGCAATTTATTTCTTTAATTTAAAAACTGTTAAGTTTGCCAGCGGACATTATTTTTATTTTTAGATGCAGATGTTTTTTATCAAATCAAAAAATAGTCCGTCCTCCTTCATCTTAAATAAGAATTTAAAAATAAAAAAAAACCCTAGGTATGACGAAGAAAGTTGTACTTTTTCTTAAATGTTTTTTAGGAAATGTAATGATTGTTTTCTAGTTTCTAGTACATATAGGTTAATATCAGATTACCAGGATTAGTCAAATAAAGGCTGATTAATTCAACAGTCTCCAAACTTGACAATCTACGGAACAATACAATAGAACACAATAAATACAATAGATAAACAATAAATACAATAGAACACAATAAATACAATAGATAAACACTAATAAGAAAATAAGATAATTGTATTTATTGTGTTCTATTGTATTGTTTCTTAGATTGTCAAGGTTGGAGACTGTTGAATTAATCAACCTATATTTGACTAATAAAGCTAGATTTTTTTTTAGTAAGTCAAAACAGCTGGTTTTTACCTTTCCAAGCTATTTTATTAAAATTGGAAATCAAGAAATTGGCAGATTTTTCGAAAAATTTGTTTTTAGACAAACCTAGAATATATCGAATATCTTTAATTTTACCATTGGCTATGGTTAATTCCCGATGTAAATGTAGATAAGAAATGCCTGAAACCTTATACAGAAAAATTATGTTTAATTCATAACTAAGTGTATATTATTTCAATACTGTCTACATAGTATCTATAACTGATACTAATTGCTTATTTTAAAAAACAGTTCTAATACAAGGTGTCCCACGAAACATGACAGTTGGTGAATAGTTTTGAATGTCTTCTTCCACATACTGCTTTATATATTAAAGATTTTTTTGCAGTTTATTTCTATAAAAAAAATGTTTAACTCATATAAACTATTCACCAACTGTCATGTTTCGTGGGAAATTTGGTAAAATACCAGATCGAAATTTAAAAAAGGATAAAAAATAATTTTGAGAAACTAATATTATCCAAAATTCCGGGAATTTGAATTCAAGAAAGCTAAAGATTTTTAAATTATAAATAAATAATTAGTTGAAGTATATCTAAATCACGAAATAAAAATTTTTTCATTATCTAAATATTTCAAAATACAAAATTTGATAAAAACTTTAAGGTTGCGTCCGTTAAAACTAACTTTTTTTTGGCGATTTAGAAGTCGGTTTAATAGTTAGGTAGAGCGCCTTTATTTTTGAACCCATTGTAGAAACTAAGTAGAATGTAAGTGTAACATGAGTTTTTTTAATTTTTAAATATTTTGTTGTTTGACCATTCACGGCATCTGTAAAACTGCACTTTGTTACGTCGAACTTAAGTAAATTTCACGTAAGATTGAAATCTTATATGTTTTTAAACATAACTTCTCTTGCTTAACCACTCCTTTAGCGCCTGATCCAATCAGGATTCAGTTATGTTTTGGTGTCTATTCTGAACCAATAGAAATAGTATGAGTGTAACATCTCTCATCTATCTCATTATCCAATCAGAGTTATGAATCCTTCAATCGGTGCTATAGTAAATGGAAATATTTACTTATTCTGAAACTATAGTGTAACAGCTATTGAGAAGAATAAAAATATTGAAAATTTCTAATAAATTAATTTTTCCATACTTTACGTAAAATCAAACTTAAGGAGATACTAGGTCACAACTCACAATTAGTTAGCCGAAGTTTTTAAATCCCGGGCTCTGAGCCCGCGATTTTAAAACTTCGGCTCGAGCCGTAATTCCTTAAACCCGACTTTAAGGCACAATCTTCGATCCAAATCTGATGAAAGCTTGTGTCACGTGATTGCCAGCTGTAATATCTTCAGCTCGAATTAAGGAGTTAGGCCCAATGAAAATAAAACCAACCTTGGTTGTTGAGAATTGTTCTCATAAAAACCCGGAATGCACCTGCAATTCCTACCATGAAAATTCGCCAAATAGAATATTAAACATTTTTTTAAATTCAACTATTTGGAAAATAAGATTCAGCTTGAATCCGAAACCTCAAGCCGTAAATAAGGCCCAACGACAGCTTAGACCCGAGCCGTATTTTCCCGAATTTTTTAAATCGCGGGCTCAGTAATGTCGAATATATTTTACTCTCTCCGGTTTTTTTGTCTAGTTCACAGTGTCTTCTAGTTCAAATAATCCAACTTATTAAATTTAAAACTATTCAAATATGAATTTAAATAAACAGACGTCGTTGTATATATATGAAAACAATGAAGACGACTTTTGATTAAAATTTTTAATTTTCTACCAAGCTTTTAAACATGGGTACACATACACATGGAAACAAAGAGAAGCTGTCAATTAAAAGCTTCTCTTTGTTTACTTGTAAAGCTTGCAAGAAATAAAAACTTAAATATAAAAGTATTCTTCTTTGTATTGATATAAACGCCGACAATATTTAATAAAACTGAGAATGGCAAATACAACCTATAACAGTGTCCAATGCATACATGTTGCAAAGTTTACATAATCTGGCCTGGAACCAAATAAACATTAGAATTGAAATATATTTTATCAACATATTCTGCTCGGTTCCGATTAATATATTTTACAGAGAAAGACGACCTTCTATTTCTAAATGGGAAATTTGATGAGCCACCCATCAAAAATGAAATTCTAGAAAACTGTAGAATGAATGTCGTCTTTGCAAATTGTTGCCACAGAAATATCGCTAAAATGTTCAAGGCTCTTTTTTTAAGAAATAGATCAGATGCAAATTACACAATCTTTAGCGCCATTTCATAGTCAAAAAGAAAAAAAAGAAGACAGCTATAGAATTCCAGTGTTTTTTTGTTCTCACTGTATAGTACAGGGTGTCCCACGAAACATGACAGTTTGTAAATAGTTTAGAATGTCTTGTTCCAGAATTTTTTAAGTTGTTTAATATGAATGCCAATAATAAAAATATTATATAGAAGTCATATCATAGTAAAATTAATTTCAAAGTGAAATATATTTGAGGAAAAGATTCGTTTAACAAAATATACTGCTAAAAACCTTAAATATCTGATACCGTGCATGGAACACGACATTCAAAATTATTTACCAACTGTCATGTTTCAAGGGACACCCTGTAGGTTACCAAGGGGGCAAGTTTAACAGTTTCTCCTGATTCCCTTCTCTCTCCATCAGCGATTTTCTTTCAAACTCATCAAATTTCATGATCCAAAACTACAAAAAATTAAATCAAATGATTGTAGATATCATGTTTTTTTCTTTGAAACCTGCGTATAAGAACAGGATTAACTTTTATATTTAGAAATTCTTGGAAACCAATTTAATTAAAAAAAATCAACATCAAGATATTTGTGATGTATAACAATGTATTTCCACTAATGTTTTATTAATATTATAAATATAAATCATAAAATTTTAGATTTTGTTTTCATGATAAATATAAATGTGAGAAGAGAGAGGAAGTATTGGTTTTGTATCAGCGGGATAGTAAAATACTGGAATACTGGGATACAACAAGTCTAAATCGATTCTCCAATACACGCTACCAGAAGTCAGCCATGGAAACCAATTCATTTAATCTAAGATTTATAATCATAAAACGAAACCATCCAACCAGTGTTTGCCGCGCTAGGATTCCATTATCAAGAAGCCAATTTTTTTTACTTAAAAGTATTTTTCTATTATCATATATATATATATTCCAACTGATGATTGGGTTAGACCCATGAAACATTTTGTTTTGGAAGAAATATATATTTAAACATCTAAAATGTATATTTAAACTGAAAAAAAGTTGAAAATTCTATTGATATATATATATATACTTTTCTTGTCTGTTTGTCTGTTTGTTTGTAACCGATAAACGTCAAAACCGCTGAACCGATTGGGCATTTTTTGTGGGACCTCACATTTCCCTTGGGAAGGTGTATGAATACTCAGAATTACATATAATGTCTCCAAAACTTTTTGATTTTCCTAAATACTTGTAAATCCACGAAAAAATATTATTTAATCCGCGATCTATTTTGTTATTGTTTTAAAATGTACCAAGAGAATATGCTGGCATAATAGAACAACAATTAAAAGTTGAAATAGAAGCTGGGTAGGAAGGGTCCTAAAAGCTTAATTTTTATATATGTACATAATGCAAGAGGCGGGATTTTTTTATTGTTTTCTGGGGGGATGGAGGAAACCTGAGTATCCTTTAAACCTTGATATTGTTCTCTAGGTGAGAAGATGAACCCTGAGTATCCTCTAAACCTTGATATTGTTCTCTAGGTGAGAAGTTGAACCCTGCGTATCCTCTAAACCTTGATATTGTTCTCTAGGTGAGAAGTTGAACCCTGAGTATCCTCTAAACCTTGATATTGTTCTCTAGGTGAGAAGATGAACCCTGAGTATCCTCTAAACCTGGAGAAACTAGAAAACCTTCTCCTTGTTAAGTTTTCCAGAGATTCGATGGTGGATCCAAAAGGTAATTTAATGATTTATTTTATCAAGCTGAGGCATTGAGAAGAAATTAGTGTTAGCCGATTATATCTTAGGCCACCAGCAACAGGTTGATTTGTCTTAGGCCAACATCAATAGGTTGATTTGTCCTAGGCCAACATCAATAGGTCGATCTATCTTAGGCCAACATCAATAGGTCGATCTGTCTTATGCCAACAGCAATAGGTCGATCTGTCTTAGGCCAACATTAATAGGTCGATCTGTCTTTGGCCAACATCAATAGGTCGATCTGTCTTTGGCCAACATAAATAGGTCGATCTGTCTTTGGCCAACATCAATAAGTCGATCTGTCTTTGGCAAACATCAATAGGTCGATCTGTCTTAGGCCAGCATAAATAGGTTGATCTGTCTTTGGCCAACATCAATAAGTCGATCTGTCTTAGGATAAAATCAATAGGTCGATTTGTCTTAGGCCAACATCAATAGGTTGATCTAGCTTAGGCCAACATCAATAGGTCGTTCTATCTTAGGCCAACATCAATAGGTAGTTATATCTTAGGCCAACATCAATAGGTAGTTCTATCTTAGGCCAACATCAATAGGTTGATCTGTCTTAGGCCAACAACAATAGGTTCATCTGTCTTTGGCCAACATCAATAGGTCGAAAACATAGTTTGGGTTTTCCCCAACAATTTATAGTACTAATTGTTAGGGACTGAAAGCTTTATTTCAATAATGTCTGCTAGAGTTTATTTTATGAAAACGGTAAAGGGCTGTAATGCATAATGCATAATGTGCCTGTACGTAATGTCATTCAAAAAGACGATTTCGAAATCGTCTCTTTTTTAGCAAGCACGAAACTATCCTAAAGGTATGAAATATTCCAGTAATAAAATCAGCAAGCAATCTTTATTAAAATGATACTACAAAACACGCCACGTAGATCCAGGATGCCTTACAAAATTGCACCAGTTTCAAATAAATTGGTAAGCTCTAAAGCACTTGTTTTTACCTTTATATTATCAGTGGTAATTGGCAAAATTCTCAAATATTTTTACGTTAGAGCTTTCAACCTTTAGAATCACTGTGACCTATTAACATTTTTTTATCATAACGTTTCAAACTTATATTGAAATACAATATTTAATCATTGAAAATGTAATATAAACATTTCTGGAAATCGGCTTTATTTTCATTAACACTGAACTTAATTACAACTCTTTCTGTATAGATTCCATATATTTTTAATGTATATTAGATCCTTAGGTTGCAAGCTCTCATGCAAAATTCGATAAGAATTTTTCATTTCTTGATAACTAAAACTATAAACAAGTGTTTTATAGATTTCAAATCTAAATATCATGGTTACAAAAATATAAATGAGTTAGTGAAGTAAAATTAAAAGCAGTGTATTGCAACACTTAAAAGTGGCCCCAGATTAGAAAATCAATGCAACATTTTATTGCAGTTTGGATCATTGTGGTCGTACTTGACGATATTTCATTAACGAAAATATTGTGTTCTAAAGATTCTGAATGGTTCGGATGGTTTGATCCAGCAGACGGTTTAACCATCCTACCTTTCAACCAAACCAAACTCTATACACAGGATAGGATAGGACTCAGGAAACTAGATACGGTTTAGGCAGGAAAACTTCATTTTCTTGAGGTTGATGGAGATCATCTTCAGTTGGACGAACAGTCTTTTGAATATATAATTCAAACGTTTTTAAATGTATAAAAGTTTGTATGGATTATGGTCTATATATGTCTAAACGTTCACACTGGTCGTAAAGTTTTCGCAGATCTAACGTCTAATCATTCGTAAACGTCCTCACGTTGCTAGCGTAAACGTCCTCACAAATTTTAACGTTTTTGTGTTTCTTCATGGCTACACAGTAAACAATTTCTCAGCCAGCTATAAATTCGAATTTGATTAATGAATTTCGCAATTATCGATCTGACATCGAAGTTTACTCTGAAACCTACAAGCAATTATGAAATAAAAAGTACGCTAAGTTTTATGAGGTTGAATATGTAATGTTTATAGTATATAAGTGAGTAATTAAGCATCTAGAATTTTAGAAATATGTCATAAGAATCCATGAAAACTCTTTTGCGGTTGAATGAATTAAATTTTCAAAAATAAACTATTTTTTTTTTTATATCGATTTTTATCTCATTATCTATAATTTTGAAAAAAAAATATCATGTGTCATAAGTGCGTTAATAAATACATTATTATATAAAAATTAAAAGCCATCGGAGAAATTAATAACTTTAAAAGCTTGTCAAAGTAACAAAAAAAGTATATGTATGTAATAAATATCGTGTAATTGTAGTAAATAATGTGTAACACGATATTGAAAAACATGAGCTACTTACATTATTGAAACATGCATTGTAATTAGAATAACTACGTTTACATCTATCCATGTTAATCTTCTAAATAGTAATACGTACGTTCAACTTGAACTACGCTATAGACCTGTGTGGAGGTAGCTTAACGGCATAAAATCCATCCTCGCTAATCTTATAAATATGTACATTAAACTTAAACTATGCTGTATATATATATCGACATAGAACTTGTAATTATGTTGATTCACACTAACTTGTAACATAAGATATCTAAAATAAATTAGTTGGTTGAGATTCTGCTTTGATTATGGTATTAGAAGTAATTTCGTCCTCGTTGAAACATACGAGCTGAGATCGTGTCTTGACATTTGGCATTGATCGATTGAGAACTTGTTTGATAGCTAAGCTTGTGTCCCTGTGTGACATTCAGAGCCAATGAGATTGTGCCTTGAGATTTGGCATTGATCGCATACGAGCTTGTTTGATAAATACGCTTGTGTCCCTGTGTGACATTCAGAGGCGATAAGATTGTGTCTTAAGATTTGGCATTGATCGCTTAAGAGCTTGTTTGATAGCTACGCTTGTGTCCCTGTGTGACATTCATAGCCGATGAGATCGTGTCCATTGGTTTGACTTTGATTGATTGCTGAAGAGTTTGTGTCCTGGTTAACATTCATAACTGACAGTTTGTACCTGGACTGATACAGTTCCAGACGAAGTTTTAAGAGTACGGCATTTACTACATATATAGTTAAGTGTTTAGGAAATAGTACCTTTTATGGTTTAAAGCTTGTTTACATGGGCTCCAACATCTTCATGTTAAAATTAGATGAATTGCCCGGCACTGTCCGTGAAATTTTTTTTGGCAAGTTATAGATGACATATTGTATAATGTATATATGTGCGAAGAGCTTTATTTTATAGATTATATATGCAACTAAGAGATTTAATTTTCGCATTTGGGATTTTTCCCTTAACCTGACATTGACACTTCATATAAAGAGTGTCCTGTCCGTGTCCAAAAAACTAAGAAAATTAATAGGCGCGAGTTTCAAATTGCGTATCATCTATGGAAAACAATTTTAGTTTTCCACTAAACACAATTGCCATCTAAAACTTTTTGGCTGAGGGAGTGTCTTTGATGTATCTTTAAAATTGTCTGGAACAGAACTGTTGAAGGCTGGTTCTGTAGGGAGCTGCTTGAAGCTGGTATAGATGAATCCTAGATCCTGGAGCTTTCTGTTCAGGACTTGGTCCGAAAATGATGTTTCTATTTTGATTTTAGAATATTAATAAAATCCCTTTTTTGGTGGTACAGAGTTGGTTTGGAACTCCGGAGCTGCTCATGGGTTGGCTACAACTGCCCATATCATCTTTTCATGATTTTAAAGTTAGATTTTAAGGTGCAGTCTTAACCTTGAGCCTATACGTAAAAATACGCACAGTGTTCACAGGATGTTCACAAAAAATACAAACATATAAATACATTTTAACTATTCATAAAAGCACAAATATCAATTCTTAAAGAATCTGTTACATTCGTTTGTGATTTTTACAAAAAAGGAGTTTCAGTTTATGTAAACACCCAGCAGAGTTCCCATATACAGAGATAATTGATTTCAACCAAGTTCTAACATTGCTTGTTAAAAATACGTACTTTGATCTCCGTAACAGTATATTAATTTTGTCAAGGTTTCAAGTTTACAGGTAAAACATCAAATCTGAAATCTCTCGTCAATGGCTCAGGTTGAACTAAGTTTTGGAAAGCAAATTATTCTCTATGTCAGGCATTCGTTTCCAATAAAAAATCATTAATAAGTTTCAAATTCGTTCTTAATTTCCATGTAAAGTTTCTTATTCTTGTCTGTTTTTCTAAGGGAGAAACCTAACTAAAAAATATATAAAGATTTGGATCTGTTATAGTTATAGTACTATTTTGTATTTTGTGATACTATACTATTTTGTATTGATCCTTCTGTGATGATACTATACTAGTGCTGTATTGATCCTTCTGGGATACTATTCTATTTTGTATTGATCCTTCTGTGATACTATACTATTTTGCATTGATCCTTCTGTGATACTGTACTAGAGCTGTATTGATCCTTCTGTGATACTATATGGCTGTATTAATCCTTCTATGATATTATATAGCTGTATGGACCCTTCTATGATACTAAAGAGCTGTATTGTTCCTTCTGTGATACTATAGAGCTGTAATATTCCTCCTGTGATACTATAGAGCAGTATTGAATCTCCTGTGATACTAAAGAGCTGTATTGCTCCTTCTGTGATGCTATAGAGCAGTATTGATTCTCCTGTGATACTAAAGAGTTGTATTGATCCTTCTGTAATACTATAGAGCAGTATTGATTCTTCTATGATACTATAGAACAGTATTGATCCTTCCGTGATATAAAACTGTACTGATCCTTCTATGATACTATTGTGTTGTATTGATCCTTCTGTGATACTATAGAACTATATTAATGCTTCTATGATACTATATAGAGCTGTATTGATCCTTATATGATAATGTAGAGCTTTACTGATCCTTTTGTGATACTAAAGAGCAGTATTGATCCTTCTGTAATACATAAACTATTTATTCTATGATTCTTCCCTAGAATTAATTATTGCATGCAACAACAGCAAATACATTGTCTTTCTAATTAAATCTCAATCTATCCTAGGTTTGGTTTATTATAATAAAAAACTTCTTTATTCTTTCATTCCGGCATTTTATTTATTTACTGGAGAATTATTATTATGATTAATTTCTTGTATAAATGTATCCAATAACATTATATGATGTGATGTCTTTATTCTGAAAATAATTGTCTGAAGATTGAATATTTCATATTTTATATTATTTCATGAAGGTTTATACAGATTAAGGTTTGCCACATAATTAAAAGTTTAAAAGTTTATGTTTAATGTACTATACAAAGCTAAAGCAAAATAGTAAGATCAAAACAGGGTATTGCAGCAAACTACACTAATTACCAATTAGCCATATCCTGATCAGTTTGTGCCACCAAGTACAAAAGATTTCATTATTTTTCTTTGTGTTTATTTAAATTTAATACTATACTTTTATTACTTCTTTTATTTGGGCTTTTTTTGGGATTTCTCGAAGGATATATACATAAATAAATACATATATAAAAAACCGGATATTCCAGAAGTTATACCACTAGAAGGATTTAATACAAGGTGTTACAGAATATATACCACTAGAAGGATATAATACAGGGTGTTACAAAATATATACCACTAAAAGGATATAGATACAGGGTGTTACATAATATGTATACCACTAGAAGGATATAATACAGGGTGTTACAGAATATATACCACTAGAAGGATATAGATACAGGGTGTTACAGCATATATACCACTAGAAGGATGTAATACAAGGTGTTACAGAATATATACTACTAGAAAGATATAATACAGGATGTTACAGAATACATTTACCACTAGAAGGATATAATACAGGGTGTTACAGAATACATTTACCACTAGAAGGATATAATACAGGGTGTTACAGAAGATATACCACTAGAAGGATTTATACAAGGTGTTACAGAATATGTACCACTAGAAGGATATAATACAGGGTGTTATAGAATATATACCACTTGAAAGATATAATACAGGGTGTTACAGAATACATTTACCACTAGAAGGATTTATATAAGGTGTTACAGAATATATACCACTAGAAGGATATAATACAGGATGTTACAGAATATATACCACTAAAAGGATATAGATACAGGGTGTTACAGAATATATACTACTGGAAGGATGTAGATACAGCGTGTTCCAGAATATATGGCACTGGAAGAATATAGATACAGGGTGTTACAGAGGTCATACCGCTGGAAGCATAAAAATACAGGGTGGTACGGAGTACATAACATGGAAGCATAAAGATACAGGGTGGTACAGAGTACATACCACTGGAAGCATTAAGATACAAGGTGTTACAGAGTACATACCACTGGAAGCATAAAGATACAGGGTTTTACAGAGTACATACCACTGGAAGCATAAAAATACAGGGTGGTACAGAGTACATAACACTGGAAGCAAAAAGATACAGGGTGTTACAGAGTACATAACACTGGAAGTATAAAGGTAAAGGGTGTTACAGAGTACATACCACTGGAAGCATAAAGATACAGGGTGTTACAGAATATATGACTTTGTAAGAATATTGATACAAAATTGATAGAGTGAAGTTAGCCGGAAAAAGAGCTAATGGGATTTAATTTAATCAGATTTAAACACCTTTTTGGAAAAACGACGATATCTTCCACATTGTTGATCATATACTATTTAAAGGGTACCTTTGTGAATAGGGCCTGTCTTTTTTTAATGGAGGGACATATTGAATCACGACAATCCCTTTAAGAATAATATTTTATTTGGTTTAACAGTGATCTGGCCCCTTTGCACGTTAAATGGTTAAGAATTAGACATGTTTTATAATTAGAATAATAATATTTATATTATTATTATAAAACTAGGTTTTATAAACAATACGAAGAAGCCACACATCTAGATAATAAATCATAATAGCTACCCTCCACAAAAGCAAAAGCAAATTTCTCTGATTTCATACAGTAAAGTCTAAATAAGCCGGAATAATGTAATTGATTGATACTTTATAGTCGACCTTAGAAATAGTTTGCGATATTTAACATTGGTACCTTGCTTTTATATATATATTTTTTAAACAATTATCACAGAAAAGCCCTAGTCCTGACATTTCTAAAATGTGGTCTGCCATTTTAGTGCTTTTACAATTACCAAGAGATATGAATGATTTCGTTCAGAATAAAGCATTTTCATGGATTTCTTTTATTAATTAAAACTTAAACAAAATTATTAAACCTCTGGTATTTATGCGAGTAAAAAAAAGGCAGACTACATTTTGGAAATGGCAGAATAAGGGCTATTCTGTGATTATTGTTTCATAAAAATATATTACTAAAATCAAGTTACCTATGTTGAATGCCGCAAACTATTTCTAAGGTCAAACACGACTATAAAGTGTTAATCAATTTACATTATTCCGAATTATTCAAAGTATCACTGTACTAAATTTTTTTTTCAAAAATTGTATCCACACTGTAAACTTTTAAATCGAAAGATTTAAGTTTTTATTCCGGGAATGGAGGTAGATTTATTATTATTTCGGTCAGCAAAGGTTCCACCCTTGATTTCCAAAAGTTTTTAATGGGTTATCATTTTTAATACCCTCAGAACAGGTCCCGTAAGGACTTTACGGAACTAAAGTTTCATCGGACCGATCCTTTGCACCGGGCTTAGTACCAGCCCGACCCAATACTATGCTGCTTGGTTTCAACTTTAATGGCGCAGCCAGACTTATTTCAGTACCTGGTCTATCATAGGCCTATTAAACAGATCCCAGTTGTTTAGTTTAATGTAAACTCCTCGCTGTTTATTCCAACTCTTTTCGTCGTAGCCAACCAATCACAAATCAACATGTTAAGAATAAGATGATTCAAACCTTGACCAATATCAGAACACAAAATTCAAAATGTGTGTAGAAACAGACTTTCTCAATGTTTACGATAAGACAGATTTCTCAATGTTTTAGGATAAGACAGATTTCTCAATGTTTTAGGATAAGACATATTTCTCAATGTTTAGGATAAGACAGATTTCTCAATGTTTGTGGAATAATTGACAGATTTGTAAATATGTTCAGAATAAAACAGTATTTTTAATGTTTGTAGGATAAAGTAAAGTTTTTAATGTAAGTAAAATAAGAATAAGACAGAATTCTGAATATTTGTAGAATAAGACGGATTTCTGAATATTTGTAGAACAAGAGAGATTCTCAATATTTATTGAGTAAGAAAGATTTCTTAATATTTGTTGAATAAGACAGATTTCTGAATATTTGTAGAATAAGACAGATTTCTGAATACTTGTAGAAAAAGACAGATTTCTGAATATTTTGTAGAATAAGAAAGATTTCTGAATATTTGTTGATTAAGACAGATTTATGAATATTTGTAAAATAAGACAGATTTCTGAATATTTGTTGATTAAGACAGATTTCTGAATATTTGTAAAATAAGGCAGATTTCTAAATATTTGTTGAATAAGACAGATTTCTAAATATTTGTTGAATAAGACAGATTTCTAAATATTTGTAGAATAAGACAGATTTCTAAATATTGGTAGAATAAGACAGATTTCTGAATATTTGTAGGAAAAGACAGATTTCTCAATATTTGTTGAATAAGACAGATTTCTCAATATTTGTTGAATAAGACAGATTTCTCAATATTTTTTGAATAAGACAGATGTCTGAATATTTGTAAAATAAGACAGATTTCTTAATATTTGTTGAACAAGACAAATTTCTGAATGTTTGTTTGAAAAGACAGGCTTCTCATTGTTGGTAGAATAAGACATATTTCTCAATATTGGTAGAATAAGACGAGTGTTTTATTATTGTTGAATAAAACAGATTTCCTTGTTTCCAGAATAATACAGAATTTTCAATGTTTAGAAGAGAACAGATTTTCAACGAAAAACCTTGATTTAAATTCTGCGAAGGTTGGAAGAAAGTAACCAGCACTCAAACACACTTAACTTGGTAAACAGGGCTAAAAACAGGAACTTTTAATTAAATAAACCAAGTGGAAAAGTTTACACCTAGAGAACTAGAAACCATGAGATCTCATTGAACTTTACACTAGTTTAAACAAAATACCAGTCCTTGTCAAATCTGAATTCTGTACAGAGCTTACTGCATAAAAAGACGGAATTGGAAAAATTTCACATTCAATTCAAGTTTTCTTTTCCAGATATTTTAACAGAAAAAAATACAAAAGAAATATGTATAAGAAAATGTTAAAATTTACCATGGGTTTATTTTACATTAAATATACACAGTTAAGCAATTTATTTAATTAATTGAATTTGTTTTTGCCGCAAACTCAAATGTTCTAATCCCTAAATCTTTGGAACCTGATGGTGTAAATCTTTGATTTTTTAAACGTACACTTTTGTTCTAAAAGAATTCATATTTTGAAAGGTCTACGACATCACGTTGCAAGGATGCAGAGATTAATAAATTAGAGTTTGTGGCAAAAACACATTTTCTTTTTGTTATGCTCAATGTTATACTTTATTATTAAGACACGGCTTGGACACATTTTAATAATTAATCTTTAAGTAACTTCAGATTTTAAAAAATCCAATTTTTATATTTATTAAAAAATAATTAAAAATGTATTTACAAGTTATGTAAGCAGAGTGAAGATTAGGGTGGAGGGAGGGTGGTTTTGCATTTATATATTTACATGCACAGGTCTTCTTACAAGGAGTTTAACGTGTGTTCGCTGAAAACTTGAAAGAAACAGATTTCAATATTCTGTAATACGGTTTACGAAGGTTTTTTAGCGAAAATAAAGCTATTATTTTGCAGGCCATGATTCTTCTCTATATTTGCATCGAATAAAATTATGAACTGGCAATATTTTAGGAGATCTGCAGTATTTTACATTCATAGTATAAAATATGCATTGTGTATATACACTGTATACAAATGTTGCTTAAAGGTGGTAGCATGTACACTGTAAAAAAAGTACAGCAAGAGTCTCAGAGAGTTAAGACATTAAGCCCCAAAGAGTGAAGATACAACCCAGCGAGTCTATAGAACCCGGAGAGTTCAGACTATAGAACCCGGAGAGTTGAGACTATAGAACCCGGAGAGTTAAGACTATTGAACCCGGAGAGTTGAGACTATTGAACCCGGAGAATTGAGACTATAGAACCAAAAGAGTTGAGACTATAGAACCCGTAGAGTTGATGCTATATAACCCGGAGAGTTGATACTGTATAACCCGGAGAGTTAAGACTATATAACCCGGAAGTTGAAGCTATAGAACCAGGGGAGACTGTAGAACTTGAAGAGTTTGGACTATAGAACCCATGAAGAGTTGAGACTATAGAACCCAGAAAGTTGAGACTATTGAACCACGAGTGTTAAGTCTACACAGTATACATAATGCATGATTTATACTATATAACAGGAGTTTAGACTACAGGAACTGAAGAACTAATTGAAAGACGAAGATAGCCAGGACGAAAAACTTCAGGTTTCCGAGAGGGGCTGGGCGACCTAAAAAAATCAAAAATATTAATAATTATTTAAATATGATTCTTTCGTGAAATAAAATGCTTAAAATAATTAAATGATAAGAAAATTTAAAGAATGATTAAATCTTGTTCTAGTTTTTAAGAATTGGATGGTTTAAGAAATGTATTTTCGTCAGAGAAAGAGACTGACAATAAACATCCGGAATCTATCCTGTATTGTTAAAAAAAAAACTTGAAATGGCGAGAGATGTGTTTTTAAATGTCGCTCGGAGATATAGATCAAAAATGCCATCTTGTCCAGTAAGAATGTTCTTGATCAAGGAGCATCTTGTCGATTAAAATGTTTTAGATCAAGGACGCCATCTTGTCAGTTAAAATGTTCTAGATCAAGGACGCCATCTTGTATATCAAGATGTTTATAAATCAAGGACGCGATATTGTCTATTGAGAATGTTCTAGCTCTAGGACGCCATCTTGTCAATTTAAATGTTCTAGATCAAGGACGCCATCTTGTCTATTAAAATGTTCTAGATCAAAGAGCATCTTGTCTATTAAAATGTTCTAGATCAAGGATGGAATCTTGTCTATTAAAATGTTCTACAACAAGGTTCATCTTGTCTATTAAAATGTTCTAGATGAAAGAGCATCTTGTCTATTAAAATGTTCTACATCAAGGACCATCTTGTCTATTAAAATGTTCTAGATAAAAGAGCATCTTGTCTATTAAAATGTTCTAGATAAAAGAGCATCTTGTCTATTAAAGTGTTTTAGATCAAGGATGCCATCTTATCTATAAATAATGTTATTGATTAAGGATTCCATCTTGTCTATCAAAATGTTCTACATCAAGGACCATCTTGTCTATTAAAATGTTCTAGATCAAAGAGCATCTTGTCTATTAAAATGTTATAGATCAAGGATGATATTATCTATAAATAATGTTCTAGATCAAGGACGCTATCTTGTATATTAAGAATGTTCTGGATCTAGGACGCCATTTTGTCTATATTTCGAATGTTTTGGATCTAGGACGCCATTTTGTCTATATTACGAATTTTCTGGATCTAGGACGCCATATTGTCTATATTTCGAATGTTCTGGATCTAGGATGCTATATTCTCTATATTACGAGTGTTCTAGATCTAAGATTCCATATTGTCTTCATTACGAATGTTCTGAATCACCTTTTTGAAAGCTTAGTGAAGTATACTTATACTACAGGGGATTCAATCTAGGTTTATTACTTTAACACAAATAGAAACAGAAAATAAATTATTTTTACTGAAACAATCTCTTTTCTGGTTTAAGGAACTATCATTCTTCCTTTCCTCTTTGCACTGTAATTAAATATTTTCAACACTTCTCATCAGTAAGTTTTAATTAGAAAAGTTATTTAGGAATGTAATATTTAGATTTCTGCCAAATATTGACAAATCATTTACTCCTCGGTCCTGTTTTAAATAATGTAAAGAAATAAGCTTTATAATTTTAAAAATCAATGTGAGCTGCATGAGTAAACATTTCCGATTAAAAGAAAGAACAAATACGATAATTGTTCCACTGTGAATTGTTTATCACAGAAAAAAATCTAAAATTTAAACTTAGCAGGCTGAGGTTTTAAATTTGGTAAATAATATTTTCTCCATTTATTATAAATGAATCAGCTGAACACGCTGCAAAACCGAAGAGAAGTCATTAAAAAGTTTTAAAATATCTCATTCTTTATTAGATATAGTTGCTCTTAAATCAGACGAAATATTTAGAAAGTTTAAATGGGACTGTTCATATAATAATGAACAACACAAAAATTCAGAGAAAAAATTTATGAAAAACGAAAAAAAAATATTAGTTTAAGATTGTGAAAAAAGTTTAATATTTGCAACAAAAAAGTGATTTAGCCTTCGATTACACGAATTTAATATTTTATCAAACTATCCATTAGATTTGTTTTTGTATTGCCAAGAATTAGTATTTAAAATTGAAACCACTTTTCAAACCTTTTAATTATAGTTTAATAGTTCTACGTAGTATTAAACTATACAAAGAACTCTTTTAAATTTATACTTGTAATTTATTTTTCGACACAAACCATTGTTTAATTACAGGAACTTGTATTTAATGAAATAGTATTTAGAGACAGGAACTAGTATTCAGTGACAGATAATAGTATTCAGTGACAGAAATAGAAGTTCGTGACAGAAACTAGTATTTAATGACAGAAACTAGTATTTAATGACAGATACCAGTATTTAGAGACAGGAACTAGTATTCAGTGACAGATACTAGTATTCAGTGACAGGAAATAGAAGTTCGTGACAGAAACTAGTATTTAGTGACAGATACTAGTATTTAATGAAAGGAAATAGTATTCAGTGACAGAGACTAGTATTTAATGACAGGAAATAGAAGTTCGTGACAGAAACTAGTATTTAAAGACAGATACCAGTATTTAGAGACAGGAACTAGTATTCAGTGACAGAAACTAGTATTTAAAGACAGATACCAGTATTTAGAGACAGGAACTAGTATTCAGTGACAGATACTAGTATTTAAAGACAGTAAATAGAAGTTCGTGACAGGAAATAGTATTTAGTGACAGAAAATAGTTTTAAATGACAGGAACCAGTATTAAGTGACAGGAACTTGTATTTTTGTGATATAACCTAGTTTTTAGTGACATAAAATAATTTTAAGAGACAGGAAATAGTATTTAGTGAAAGTAACTAATATTCAGTGACAGAAACTAAAATTTAGAGACCACGGAACTATTATTTAGTGACCAGAACTTGTATTTAGTGACAGAAAATAGTATTTAGTGACAGGAAATAGTATTTAGTGACAGGAACTAGTATTTAGTGACAGGAACTAGTAATATTGACAGGAACTAGTATTTAGTGACAGGAACGGTTTTTAATTATAGGAACTAGTATTTAGTGACAGGAACAGGTATTTAATGGCAGGAACTAGTACTTAGTGAGAGGAACTAGTATTTAGTGACAGGAACTAGTATATACTGACAGGAACGGGTATTAATTAACAGGAACTAGTATTTAGTGACAGGAACTAGTATTTAATGACAGGAACTAGTATTTAGTGACAGGAACTATTATTTAGTGACAGGAACTAGTATTTAATGACAGGACCTAGTATTTAATGACAGGAACTAGTATTTAATGACTACTCCTGGGTTTTTATAGAACTGGTATTGGCAAAGCTATAATCTTCACACTAAATTATTTGGTTCTTGCTTCCTAACAATATCTTTCACATTTTTACATTCACAATTTTTCTCTAAGCCTACTCCCTACTCATTCTTTCTGTCTTCTCCCTACTACTCGTTCAAGTCCTCTCTCTACTCCTTGCTCAAGATTTCTCCCTACTCCTTCCTCCAGTCCACTTCCTACTCCTTCCAGTCCTCTTCCTACCACTTTTTACAGTCCTCTTCTTACTCCTTCCAGTCCTTTTTCCGGTCCCTCTCTCACTTTTTTATACTTACTGTTTCTTTTAGGACACAACAGAATATGTTCAAAGATTGAATCATTGTAAAAGTTTCAAAGACATGAAAAATTGCATGCAGAAACTGAAGGCTTTTTTAGTTTTATGCACGTTTTTGAGTTTAGGCTTGGAGATAATTCAATATTTCATTGAACACTCCGTAGTAACGGACATTAGTTTTAGAAGCCTTACACATTATATAAGAAAGTTAAACCATAAATATCAATAGTTTTAAAGTATAAAATTACTAATGGAGTTCCAGGAACATTGTAAGGGTATAAATATACTTTTACCAGTTTAAACAATAAGTTTGTATCTTCATGTAAGAATGTATTTTAACAGATTGATTGATAGATTAAAGGGACCGAAAGCTTAATTTCAAGTGACCTTCCATGTATCGAGAGGCATGTCCGATTGACAACTGTACCCTTTAAACCTTTGTCAGGAAAACAGCTGAAGATTGAGTGCCGGGAGACTCGAGGTTACAGTGTACACTGTACACTCCTTGCTAGTGCACACTTGCGCGGTTCCAGCACTTCCCGTTATATAAATAAGAATATCTACGAAATCCTTGATCAAACAAAGGTTGTAAATCGTACATGCCACTCTATAAATTGAAATTACGCTTACAGCCTCTTTAAATAGTTTGGAACAGTTTTATTTTTACAAAACCCAACCTGTATTGTTGCAAAGATCTCTGTGAGAACACCAGCAGTAGGATAGTTTAGAAGTGGATGATTCATAGCATGTATCTGGTACAGATACCAGAAAGCAACCTAAACAGATAGATAGATAGTTTAGTAGTGGAGGATTCATGACTATGTATCTGGTACAGATACAAAAAAGCAACCTAAACAGATAGATAGATAGTACGGATTCATATCATGAATCTGGTACCGATGCCAGAAAACAACCTTAACAGATAGATAGATAGTTTAGTCGTGGAGGATTTATAACATGAATCTGGTATTACAGGTGTCAGAAAACAATCTAAACAGATAGATAGATAGTTTAGAAGTGGAGGATTCATATCATGAATCTGGTATTACAGATACAAGAAAACAACCTAAACAGATAGATAGATAGTTTAGAAGTGGAGTCTTAGGCTCTTAGCTGGCTACTGGTTTAGTCAAAACTAGTTATATTTACTGTTTACTACTACAGAATATTCCTGGTTTAGTCTAAACTAGNTCAATCGGAAGCTCTTAACTATCGATCCCAAATCAAAGGGGACAATCCTCAACCTGATTATCAAAACAGGGAACAATTACTCTCTCTCAGTAAACAGTATGGAGTTTCTATATTAACTGATGTATTTGAGGTTTATATGTTACAAGTTAAAGTTAATAGAAGTAATTATAATTCCTACATTGTTATCTATATTTCATTTTTGATTAAGATAATCATGTTACACATTACAGCACAGTTAAAATAGGCGCAATTATAATGTACGTCATTATATATCACATGAACAAAGCTAATTATGTTACATAATATTACAGCACAGTTAAAATAGGCGCAATTATTATGTACTTCATTATATATCACATGAACAAAGGTAATCATGTTACACATTACAGCGCAGTTAAAATAGGCGCAATTATTATGTACGTCATTATATATCACATGAACAAAGCTAATCATGTTACACATTACAGCACAGTTAAAATAGGCGCAATTATTATGTACGTCATTATATATCACATGATCTAAGCAAATCATGTTATGTATCTTTATGAAATGCAGTTCCAAGGAATAATAGGTTTTACGTATATGTTTACAAACATAGATAATTGATAATGTACAACGTACTTCAGTTTTTACAAAATATCATGTTTTCCCAATATTTAGTATATTTTCCTCTCTGTATCTATTTAGTTAATTCCCTACTCCAATAAAGCCTTTTATACCAGTATCAATCCAGGTTCATCATGAATACCAAAGTCAATATAAATCCGAATATGGCTCAGTATGTATTCTCAGGTATCTGTCTTACAACAAACAACTCAATTAGGAACTCCAGATTGCTCAATAATCTCAGGTATCTGTTTCACAAGATACTAAAGCATACTCAATCGCGAACTCCAGGTTGCCTAATAATCTCAGGTATCTGTTTAATACTCAATCCCTCTCGTTATGATCGTCGAGGCATAAGAACAAGTCAGTTCCACAATACTTTACTATCAATGTCAATCTTCACACAACTTTATCTACATCAATTCCCAACCTAGTTCTTTCAAGAGAGTGATTCAGGACGTTTCTTGTTCACAATTAAACCAAGAAAAAATTACTTTCACACCGTACTCAAGCCGAGTGTAATTCCACTTACTTATTACAAGTTTTACTACATTATATACCAGCGTAGTTCAGCTAATCACAATGCAGGTTTGACATAGTTATTTACAGAGGTAGTAGGTTAGGTTGATCGCAATACAAGTTTTGCGTAGCTATTTATAGGCACATTTTAAATTTACAGACAATGTACAACGTAATATTTCTAGGTACGTTCAGGTTTACAAATATATATATCTAGTCTGTGGGTGCACCTTACTTTTTTCCTCTCTATCACGGTGCAACCAAACCCTAGTCTTCTCCTCTGTTTTCTGGTGTAACCAAACCATACTCTTCTCCTCTGTATCCTGGTACAACCAAACCCTAATCCTTTCCTCTGTATCCTGGTGTAACCAAACCCTACCCTTCTCCTCTGTATCCTGGTGCACCCTACCACTCTCATCTGTATCCTGGTGCACCCTACTCTTCTTCTCTGTATCCTTACTAGGGTCATAGATATAAGTT